TCTGGATGTGGATGCAGTGTCGGCACCCAAGGTTTATGCATCTCATCCAAAAGAGATGGTGGGGAACATTGGCAAAATTCCTACAAGGGAAATGCAAACCTGCAAATCATCTATCGCATTGGTATCAATCAAGTGTATATACGCCGAACACCCATCATGGCTAAATCAGGAGCATGAGTGACGGAAACCAAAACATAACACACAATGCATGGACCTCCGTAGACCACGCCAGCTCATCCCACAACCACCAAGGCAACCTCAATAATCATTCAGCCGCAGCTTCTTCCCGACAAACCGACGTTTCTCGGGCTTATCGGCGCCCCGCTCCCGGTCTGCATTCAGCCCCTTGAGCGCGTGGAGCAACATCCCTGCATCAAAGAATCCATCTGATTCGGTGGTCAGTAGCTGTGTCGTTAAACGCAAGGGAACACACTTCCAAAGGTGCACTTACATCCGCCCATGCCATCGTCCTCTAGCTCTCCGCTGTCCGTCGTGGGTGTCTCGGCACCCCGATGCAGCTGGCCCGGGTCCCCCCGGACGATCCGGCCCCGGCGGTGATCGCCCTGGAGCCGCTCGGCAATCATCTCCATCTCGCGTGCCCTGCTCGTGCGAGGGCTGGCAGGCCGGTGGGTGACCGTGCGCAGCAGCTTCCGGATCTCCATCAGGTACGATTCCAACGTGTACATCAGACGCGCAGTTTGTCGATGCTTCGACGAGGCGCAGAACGAAATCGAATCGTCCTTGATTATATAGCCAATGCCAAAGCCATCCGCAGACGTAGGCCCGAAGCCAAAGTGCCGGAGGCACGGATTTCCGCAGTTGGAGGTCGACAGCACGGTCGTATTGATCTTATCCCAGCCAGCGTCGCTGAAGATAGCGGGCATGGTACGCACCCCACGTACACTGTAGCCATTGGATGACAGTCCATCTTCCGATAACGACGTGGAAGACTTGGGCGATTCAATGGACGCTGTCTCCACAGGGCTAGTGTACCCGTTGGAGCTGCTGATGACGCTGTTGTTCGCCGACGACGCGCCGTCATCGAAGGATCGTTGCCACAGGCAGTACAGCGCGTAAAGATGCCTATCTTGTCCCTGACCCTTCGAGCAGTCCTTCGTGATGGCGGTATGTTTCTCGGTCGCTTTGCGCAGCGCGCTCACCTTTTGCTCTGCCGGGTTGTCCCCCCAGAACGTTTTAACAAAGTCCACGCATTCGTTAGTCACCGTCCGGATGGCTTCTGTTCGACCGTGTAGGAAAACCTTAGTCATAGCAGGTTCGTAGGTGTTCTCCATGCGGCCGTAGAGCCCGTAGTAGGCTGCTTGGAAGGCCATCTGCACAAATGCATCAGGGGAAAAGCCCATAGAAGTGATGAAATTTTTGCCAAATCCTTTGAAGTCGAGCACTTGGAACTCGTGTTGCTGCAGTAGATCGGAGAGGTGGGACTCGGCGAACCGCAAAGCAATGCTGAGTTCAGGCACCATATCCCATTCGAGCTTGCGGGGGGTTGTGCTGACATTGCCGAAGCTTCGAGGGTCGCGCTTCGCAGGATCAGGGCTAGACGTCGCCCAGAGGGTCGGTGCCTGGCCGTTGATCGTCCGAGCAAAGCGGAGTATGGTGTCCGTATAGACATCGCTGGCAAACCGGAGTACCGTATGGCCATCTACGCCAGTGTGTTCGAAGTTGATGCCCGCACTGCCATTCTTACACACGATGATCTGGAGTTTGTCATACCACCGGTTGGTACAAGTGCCGACCTGCACTCCTCGGACCACTTCGCTCGTTCCGCAGAGCATGTTGGCGCAAAGCTCCGACGTGTTGTGTGGTTCAGTGTAGTCCAAGCACAAAACGAACAAAGCGGTGTCCACGATATTGAGACATTCTGCGTTGTTTGACCCTTCATCCTTGGTGAGGATATCTCTCAATCCTGACCAGACCTTGCGGTTCTCTGTGCTCAACACACCAAGCGCTCCTTTCGCAGCATCATGGATGGGTGTCTGTTCTGCATCCCCAATGATAACCTGGAGGTTAACTGCAATATCCTTTTCATTCATGATCAGATCATTGTTGTCGTCCAGCACATCGAACCAGTATATCTGACCCCGACACAAAACAACAATATGTTTCGCATGCGGATCCTGGCTTATTACGCATCCGTTATCGGTCGGGACGCGCGCGGTTCCGAATAGGCGAGAATACTGATACATGCAAAGAGGCGTGCCCCGGACAGTGTCGGGGGGGAGCTCCTCCCGCCTCACGGCACGGACGAACGACAAGGCAGAGACGACGAGTGAGGCTGCTCGGGTAACCTGATTATTTCTCGCAGGAGTCGGGTCATCTTCCAATAGGAAGAATGGGTTCAAGTTCAGCACAACAGCTTATTACAGTAAATTAGCACGGCATATTCCCCAGGCTTGATGCACGTATTCACTTACGGCTGTCGTAATTCAAGTAAGAGTCGTACCCTGCAATGAGCCAAAGCTGTCAGTCTAAGATGACTCGGAAAGGCATGAGAGAAAGTTCGTTGTTTGGTGACGTACAGAATTGCTCGATATAGCTTGTTTTTGAAGAGGCATAGGTCTTGAGCTTCTCCTGCAGAATAGGGCCTTCCGATTTGAGGAAGTCCTGCACGGCTGCCCTGGTCTCATCCTGCTCTCGGGGCGTCTGTAGCGGAGCTAGTGCTTCAAGGTATCGCTTGCATGTCTGCTCAAGATCTGGGATGGGCAACTTGGGTAACGAATCCTGGTTCGCAAAGGTCAAGCCCTTCTTGGGCGGCTCTGATGTTCCTCCATTCACCGACATAGGGACCGAAGATGGCTTGATTTTGGTCTCGGGGGGGGAGTTCGAACGGATAGAATCCATTGTGTTTCCCAAAGGCTTAGGGGCCGTGAAGTGGCGAACTGCTACGGACGAGTAGGACATGGTGTCAGCACAATACAGCCCGTCCTGAACTGAAATCTATGGGAAGACGGGTGAATAATATAGGGATTGATGGGAGAGGCAAGATGTTGTGTTAGATATTATGATAAGTTCGCAGGGTAGTATCAGAACGCTGAAGGATTATCTCATGACCACGGCTCACGTCACGAGGCAGATGTGATCAAGAAGGGTTGGAGGCATGAGATCGAGAAAAACATAATCAAGACTCGTGCAGCGAAAATGGTATCATATATAGGTAGAAACCACTCAGGGGAGAACAATACACAGTTTCGCAATGGTACCCGGGGAGCAACTGCTGGCCGCGGGGTGGAACCAAGAGGTACCTTCGGGATAAAGGGAGTTAGACGGAGGAAGGGACACTTACAGCTTAGCTGCCAACACTAGGAAAGCGACCAGGCTACGCCTAGATGAAAGGCTCGAACCACAGTGGATCAGCTCGCCGGGCCTAACCGTCCGCGGCTGCGCCTAAGGCAAGCAGGTAAACGGGATATCGGGGGAACGGATGAAGTCTGGTTAGAGGGGCAGAGGGAAGTATATCCAGCTGGCCTGCCAAGAGATATGCGCGATAGGCCCGGTGGGCCGTACGAGGTGGAGGCGGGAAAGCTCAGGTGCGCGAACGCACTGCTGCTGCTGCTGCGGCTACCTAAGCATTTAAGGACCCATATAAGTACTTATCATTAACATCCCCAGGGGAAAGAAAAATGAAGGGAAAGGCCAGGAATGTGCGAAGAGCTCCATCCGGTCCTGCGGGTTGTGCCTGTGGCAGTACCAAAGGGAAGATGGGATGGGAAACTGCGGGGGGGGAAACCATCATGTGAAGCCGAGTATCCATGGCAGAAAGACAGAGAAGGGAGTAGGAGCAACTGCTAGAGATAGTACTAGCACTGTAGCACTTAAGAGACACGTACTCGGGGATTTTGAAGGGCACAGCCAATAGACGAGCACAACCCAGCTGAAATTAGGTGAAGCGGTACAGACGGGTCAACTGCAGTGACCGCATTAGACAGTAGTTTAATGAGAGATGGAAGGGCTCTAACGAATGCAATCCTAGTCGATAGCGCCTGGAAGCAACTAGTAGAAGGATTGGAACATGTGGCAATAATCCTGGACGAGAGCAGACCAATTGGTGACGTTTTCGGACGAAGGGAAACTGTGGAAAGTCTGGTTGCGGGGAGGAGAAGCTGCCAGATTCTAAGTTCCTTCCCCCAAAAGGCAATCACCTGGGCTTATTCAGAAGGCGAAAACTGACACCACAGGCTGCAGTCACGTGGGTGGGGCGGGACAGCCGCGCTGACAAGATAAGAGAATAGAGAGAAAGATAGAGAGATGGACACAGGACTACCCGCTGACATTATCCTACACTAAAACTGGTCACTGACTTCAGTGACTTACTTCTCTCCCACACACACAATCGTGGCTAGGTGTTTTGGAAAAAGGGTCTCATCATTTGGCTTTTATCATCCCGAAGCAAGTACCGATTTAAATCAGGGGCGCCCCATATCCACACACACACCCGCTTTGCAAAATACCCGAATCATAATTCACACACAAGAAATGAAGATCATCTAGTCTAAGGGCAACGAGTCATATTGTCTCTCATCGAGCCCCACCAAAAGCAAAGAAAGAAAGAAAAAGCAAAAAGTCAACAGATAAAATATTCACAGGTGAAGATAAGCAGAAAGAAGAAAGTCACGCCGTGCACCTGCTCTAGCCCGCGGGCTCCGAGGTCGGGTGGATCCTGTTTCGGTACTTCGGGCAAGCGGTAAGGTAGATCTTCCCCAGATGGACCTCCGTCAGAGCGTCTTGGCGATCCGGGCGTGAAACAAGCGCAGGACGTGTCTCGGGAGAAGACAAGCTTATTATCAAATAAAATAGACAGTGTGAAGGCGGAATGAGATTTAAATTTCAAAAAGGACTGATGATCGTCAGATTCTCCATTGTTCGATGTTCGCATATGGCCGGTGGCCAGAGAATCGCCCTTGCACCAGATGGATCAGGGACAAGTGTTTACTTCCATCACAGGCAGCTCTAACCCAGTTCATCGATATCCCCAGCGCCCGTCATGGCAAAGCTGACCGTTTTACCCGTCGGGTGCAGGGAAACCGACTATTCCTTGGCATGGTGCAAGAGCGACGGTCCCTAGGCACAGTCACGCGAAATCATCTCTCGCCATCTATGACGCAACGTAAACAGCTTGGCCGAGAGGGCGCTTGACGTTGGTGCCATATTCTCCCTCATAGTTTCCTAGAGGATCAAGCTTGTCAGCAATCTCTTGTCAAAATATTTAGTGAAGACGGGTATACTAACCGGCAGGGCTGTAGTTGCAAACAGTGAAGGGCAGGGCTTCGGAGGCATCGACGTTACCCAGGCTGTCGCAGGTGACGGTAGCGCAACCAACGTGAGTGGTGGCGGCCCAGACAATCTGGGAGAAGTGACCCCAGTTGTCGAAGTAGGTCATGTCGGGGTCGGCCTCGCCGTACAGGTCGGTGTAGTAGCCCATCTCGTCGTTGTACATGAGGTTGGTGATCATAACGCCAATTTCGGAAGACTCAACACCATATCCAATGTTCTGACCGTAGCCACCGCCGTCAATGGAACTGCAGATTTACGTTAGCGCAAGAAACAGGGGGGTTCCTGGAATGCATGATCCACTTACGTGTCGTGCTCATAGACACACTTGGCGGCCAGGGTGTAGGCGCTCGACTCCAAGTCCGAAGACCACTCAAGGGAGCTAGCGGAGTGGTTGCTACGGTGGACGTTGTGGTTGTACAGAACCGCGGACTGGTAAGCGTTGGTGGCGGTCGAGCTAGCGCTGGACGAGGTTGAGGTCGCAAGGGTGGTGGTCGGCGCAGCAGCCGAAGACCAGGACGAAGTCCAAGCGGAAGTCCAGGCGGAGGTCCAGGAAGTAGCAACCTCCTCAGCAGCGGCAGTGGTCGCAGCAGCAGCAGTGGTCGCAGCGGCGGTGGTCTCCACAACAGGAGTGACAACAGACGAAGTGCTGGCCTCAGCAGCAGCGGCGGCGGCAGCGGCAGCGGCGGAGGAAGAGGCCTCAGCAGAGGCAGAGGCGGCAGCAGCAGCAGCGGCAGAGCTGGAGGACTCGGCAGCAGCGGCAACGGCAGCGGCGCTGGAGGAAGAAGCAGCAGCAGAGGCCTCTTGTGCGGCGACGTTCTCATAGACCGTGGGAGTAGGGTACTCGGTGATGGTGGTGGTCATGGTGACGATGGTCCAGTCGGTCACATAGGAACGCTTGTCAACATTGTTGGCCAAGGCACCAGCGGCGCAAAGGGCACCCAGAGCGAGAGAGTAGCGCATGATTGAATGAGGGTTGTTGGTTTGTCTTTGCCAAGAGTCAAGAGATGATTTACTACAGTTCAACTGTGTCCGATTGAGATCGACTTCTCCGGGAAGTTATGCGGCCAAGAGATCAACAGGCACGAAACAGTGTATGGCAGATATCAGTTTATAGAGTTTTTTTCTGGCGATGAATGCAGATCGACTGCGAAGTTGGTTGCGTTGGTAAGACCGGAGGGGGGTGAGAGTGTGTGTTTGTGTATATGTACGAATAACCAGCACGTATGGACAAAAGAATGACAGCCTTCAGGGAGAGGAAACACTTTTTTGAAGGAGTGGAAAAAAGTGCACCAAAAAATAAAGGCGAAAGGTGAGAGAAAGGTTGAAGTGAACGGTGGGAAAAGCCAACGGTAAAGAACGAAGGGCGAGCGGGCGTGAAGTGATAATATAGTCTGGAGCGAGCAGAAGAGCAGCTGGAGTTGGGGCGGCAACTTAATCACGGAAAGGAGAGCGACTCCAGCGGGCGGCGTGTACCCGGTGGGGTCGGCGATCTCTGATAATTAAACGCAAATTAATTCAGACGGGGGTAGCTTCATATACGAGTGGGTTCTGGACGGATCTCGACGTCGCGATGGGTCATGGATGGGGGCCTGTCCCGAGTGAGCAGACAGGCGAGCATCCTTTGACCAGCCAATTTCTTTCAGAACAGAAGACAGAGAAAGGTCAATTCACTCTTTCAAAAACGCCATGCGGTGCCCCCAGCGCATTAATATCGGTTCAGCTCGCGTGTACACCGGCGTAGTTCCACGGAATGCCGTGCCTTGGAGCCTGTGTCCATTGTTTTTTCCCCTGAGTAACTAACTACGTATGTCCCAACCACGAGCGCGTACCCGGAGTTTGGGAAGGGAGGGGTGGGATACACAGTAGGGATTTTTGTGGAAGAATAGCAAAGAGGATCGTCTACGATAAGCTGGTCGACCAGTCCCTTTTGGTTGACGATACATTCCCGCTCATGGCGTTCTGACAAGGAATCTTCCAGGGCCAGGGTCTCTGACCTCCACGTCCCTGAGACCTGAGACGATGTTGGGTCCAGAAAGAGTTGCAGACGCGGGAGAGTGAGAGATAGAGAGAATAACTACTATACTGTGTACAGCCATAAGGCGGCCCGACATCGCGCCTCACGGCAACCGGCAAATCTAACATAATTACTAGCTTCCAGTGACGAGATGTTTTTTTCTTTTCTGTATTATTTTTCATTTTTGCCCCTGGAAAAGTTGGGGACCCAAAGAAAAAGAGGGCATTTTGCAGGGATTGGATTGTCCAACCGTCGAACAAAAATCCCGTGCCCCTGGCTCGCCACTAAGCTACTCTGGGTCAAGGCGCATGCCGCCCGTTTCAGGAACGGGCTCTTCTGAGCCAATCAACGCCCCGTTCCAGGTTGATACGCTGACGGTGGGTCTTCCCACGGTCGCAATGGAATCAACAACCCACCACCCATCCTTTGGGTCTCGTCCAATTCCACGCTGGCTGGTGCTGGTGGAAGCACCACATTCACTCCTCTCGTTGTTGGTCCATCCCAAAAGTCCAGACCAATGCCTGTCAATGGATCATGGTGGCCATCACTCTTCACTATTTTGCAGAGACGGTTAACATTCGTCATGCCCAGGAATACCAAGAATTGAGCATCTGTGAAGCTCCGAAAGGAAAACTCTCCGATGTCAATGTAAGATAATCTATTCGAGATTATTAAACTCAATAATATGAGCGGAGAGAGCAATGACGAGCAGGCATCATCCTCATCATCATACTACTCGCCCTCCCCCTCTCTACGTAGTACAGTAAGTCTCTCATAGTCAGCCAACTTAACTAACCCCCCGGTCACCGCAAATTTGGGGGTCGGGATAGAACACCGCCCACCACCAATTTCACTCCAGCACCACCCGAGTATTTCCCAGGGGTAAGTGCAGGGTCGCTAACTGTGATTAACCACCAAAACTTGGCAACTGACCGACCCACTCACAACCAGGATGGCGCTCGCTAACGTTTCACTTGTGGCCTTCCCATCATCTTTCGGAGATTGGGTACCTGGAGCTAGTCTACTAAGTAGTCTAGTGGCCCGGCTCCAGCTTCTCTCTTTCTTTGCCTCGCAGCTCGATACGGAGTAGTATCTAGACCTTTTCCCGAGGACCTGTCTATCCAGTATTGCCCCAGGACCACTTACTTACACTTGGTCGTGGAGATTCCCGTCATCTAGTTAAGAGGGTGATGTGTAGAAGTTCTAGAACCATGGATATGCCGTGCCTAGGATGGAGTCCATCTAACGGACGGCTTTTTCCCCTTAGATAGTCTAGATGAACACACACGGTGGGAATTGCGCCATTGCTGGCCTTTCTTTGGTACAAACGCCCATGACACTTGTAGAGCTTCACACACACAGAGAGAGAGGGAGAGGGGTAAGAGAGAGGTTCGCGAGAGGGGATAAAGTCTCTTTGCTTCGACACACAGACCCCCTCCCCCGTTCCATGGTTCCAAACGGATAAAGACACTTCAATCACATTCAGATTTATCATCGTCTTTGAAGTTCATTCTACACCAAGCAATCATTGTCATTGCTTTCAAGTAAATCTTCTTTGCCACTGCATCGGATCCTTGGATACCTTCTTCTAGAAGAAAATTTCGACACGTCGTAAGCAACAGCCTGGCCATGGATACACACCTTGTACCTTGCACGCTTGCCATGGTAGAAACAATTGAGATATTATTTTTCTGCCTAACTTCGCACGGATACACACGCACACGTGTGCATTTCCAAAGAATTAGAAGGGTGTTTATTTTCAAAGCATAATAATGAAGTACGAATCACCTGTCATCCCTCCAATCCATCGTTCGGATACATCGGCTACTTGCGCATTTAGCATTGAGCTTGGCGGACAAGTGTCGACAAGATAGTCTACATAACAAAATTAACTTCATCTACAATCCACATGACATCTACTAGCTTACGTTGCACACATACACATCATACACTTAATGAGGAAGAGCTTAGCGACAAACTTCACCCGAACCACTTCCAATTCTCTGCATTGAATGGGATGACCCAACCCTCGGATGCATTTCCACCCTGAGGCGGACACGTACGAATGTAACAGCCAAACAAACTCGCTTGATTAGCGGAGCATCCCGGCACCAAATTTCGGCTCCGAGTTGCGCCCCTCTCTGGCAGTTTGTCCCATAATACAGATATCTAGAATGGATTGTAGAGTCTAGATTTTCTATATTCTATCGAAGAGAACATTCAATATCGTAATGAGATTCGAATTGTGGTGGTTTGTATGTTGTCGTTTACAGAACCTAATGTGGGCAGAAAGTCAATAGTACTTCGTCGTGGTATTACCGTTATGATATATTTCGTGGCACGGCATTTCATTTTCACATGATTGAACTTACTACTATAGTAGTTGAAATGATACCTAGATTCACACACATACTAATCATGTCTTACTTCTAGCAGTGCACGAGAGATATGATATGATGCTAAATAACTAACAGATAGAATCCTATGTTACATACTATGGGCTCATACTAGTAGTAGTAGTTTTCGAACTATTTCCCCCAACTTGTCCCGACTTCCACGCATGAGGCATTAATTATATACCCTGTCCACAGCGAAATGATAGTCACTCAATCATTTAATCAATCAAAGCGGATGTATATTATCCCTTCCGACAAGATAGACAGATCACAGATCGCGGCACCTCAAACACACCCTACTGTACTACCACATCAAAGTAATTTCCATCCCAGCCAATCACAGCAATCAACATCCCTCCAACCTTCAGCAGGCAACCAACCAACCAACCCTGGATCTCGATCTTGACTGGTAAGTCCAGATCCTCGCCGACACTCAAGCGGGAAAAGAAAATACGGATATAAAAATAAGGAAATCGAACAATGACGTAGGTATGGTTGAAACAACCGATGAAACAGAAACCCAGACTCAAACAAAGAATGGAAACAATTGCACATAACATAACCCCTCAGACCCAATTTTGTGTCACCCTCTTTGTAGTAAGCAAACCACATGAAACAGATCTGTGAGACTGATGCGGTGGAACGATGCTCAAGCGTATCGCTTATTGGGTTCCTGACTGACCATTTGCAGGGAGACTGAGACTACTTACTAGTTACTGTGTCAGTCATACGCAAGCTGGGGTAGTAGTGGTTAGTAACTATGTAGAGCCCTATCCCATCGGCATTATCTTGGAATTTGTCACCAATTTGATTGACTGGTTTCATAAAACACTATAGAGTTGAACTCATGTCATCCAAGGCCTGAAGATATACCCAAAATATTTCCATTCAGTTGTACAGTTCATACTATGTTCACTATCCGGCATCGCCCACTTTCACAAACCATGAGATGATTTTTCGTCGTCTCGGACGCTTTCAGTTCCCTATACAACGGATTTCGCGTCCGTAACCAGAAAGATTGATTCCCTACAAAGTCTCCCACATGAGACGCTCGGATATCCACAAGAGATGCGGTCGTTGTCGCTGTCGATATCGCCAATCCGGCTTCCGCCCGGATCTTCTGTACAATCATGTCCCGCACACAGACTGGTTCATCTGTCTTTCTGATCACTCCTTCGGAAGCTTGGACACTGCCCTCAGTCACGGCTGTAGAGAATACGCCGGTGACATTCCGTGTTCCTGTCTCCAACCCAACAATAGCGTCCAGAAGTCCAACAAAGAGGAAGGGGTGTTGGAGTATCTCCACGGAAAATGACCGGCACGTTTGCCGGGCAAGCGTCTTGTATCCCTCGTCTTCCAGCAGGCTTCCGAGGCGCAACAAATTGCGGGCAATGACCCCATTGACAGCCGGCGTGGCCGACTCCGTGCCGGTCTTCAGGCGAAGAAGTGGACCCGGAGCCCCTGATGTCATTGTGGAAGGTGTGCTATAATATCCTGCCGGTGTTGTCCCCACATATGCAAGGAAGTTATCATTGAGATATTCTAGCAAGAATGTTAGCAGCGCAAGTATTTTACCTAAACATTCGAGGATACTCACTCTGTAGTTGCTCGGCGAACTGCAGGTAGCTGTCGTCAAATGTAGCCTCGTACATGTCCAGCAGCCCGCCGATCAAGTACGCGTAGTCATCAGCGAAACCTGGGGTGTTGCCCCTGCCACCATCCCGATAAATGCGCCAGAGCTGTCCAGTAGGCTTCTCGAATAGATTCTCCTTGATGAAATTAATCGCCTTAGCAGCTGCCTCTCGGCATTGTACCGCTTTGGAACTCTCAATCTCCTCGAACAGTGCACTGCACTTAGCCAGCGCACCAATGGCCAGCCCATTCCAGGCAACGATGATCTTATCGTCCAAATCGGGGCGCACGCGCGTCCTTTCGCGATAATCCCGAAGTTTCTGCTTCGCGGCTCTAATGATCCTCACCACTTCCTCTTCTCCTAAGCCAAAGTCCTTTGCAAGCCTGCTTGGGGTTACCTTGACTGATAGGACATTTTGATTCATGAACTCATCATGTGGGTCGTTCTCAGGTGCAATGTTCCCGTCAGGCAGGACACCCCAATGACGGGCGCAAACTCCAGCATCTCGTTGGCCCAGCACTTGTGTCAGCTCCTTCAGCGTCCAGACGTAGAAAGCACCTTCTCGCTTCTCGGTATCATTGGGTGTGGGCAGGCTATCTGCGTCCTCGGACGAGTGGAACGCGCCCGTTGGCGATTGAATGGGTGCAGTAGTCAAGTAGGTAGCCAGATCGTAAACCGCACCCAGCAGCTCGGGGTTGTGGGTAATCTTGAATGCATCCACATAGACGTCCAAGAGCTGTGCTTGATCGTACAGCATCTTTTCGAAATGTGGCAGGCCCCAGTCACCAGTAACACTGTATCGTGCGAAGCCGTGGCCGATATGATCCCGAATACCCCCGCGCGCCATACTGATAAGCGTGTCAACAGCCATGGCAGTTGCCTTGGCGCATTCGTCGCGTCCAACAATGTCTGCAACCGCAGTCGGATAGATGCCCAAACGTAGCAAGAAACTTAGGTTAGATGGTGTGGGAAATTTCGGCGCAGTGGAAAAGCCGCCGTGGAGAGGGTCATATCGAGAAACAAAATGCTGGTAGGCTTCCTCGAGAAGCTCGAGGTCCAGGTCCTCGTCGGCTTGACGATCACCTTGATAAGAATGTGTCCCTTCTTCAGCAAACTCCCGAAGTTGCTTCGTGATTTCCTTCGCACTCTCACGGCATCGTAGTTGTTGTGTTTGCCAAACATCGCTTAGTTTCTCGAGGATCTCGACGAAGCCAATCGTCCCATTTCCCGTCAAGGTGGAGGAGTTGGGGCCCGGCCAATAGGTACCACCGAAGACCGGCTCCAGATCAGGAGTCAAGAAGACGTTCAGAGGCCAGCCTCCAGAGCCAGTGGTGGCCTGTACGTAGTTCATATAGACATCGTCGATGTCGGGCCTCTCTTCGCGATCGACTTTGATTGGAATGAAAGATTGATTGAGAATGGAAGCCACCTCCTGCGACATGAATGATTCCTTCTCCATTACGTGACACCCTGGCTTGGTATTAGGACATCGCGCGGCCACCACGCGTCGCGAAAAGAGAACTTACAGTGACAAGCCGAATAACCGATACTGAGGAAGATCAGCCGGTTATGGCGTTTGGCCAGATCGATCGCTTCCGCATCCCATAGCTGCCAACCCACTGGGTTGTTCATATGCGCCCTAACCTATCCACGAGTCAGTTTTCGACGCGAGGGCAGGGGTTTGTCCGAACTCACATAAGGCGATCGGCTCTCGTGCAGTCGGTTGACGAGTTTCGGACTGGCATCGGTCGCGCCATCGTGGTGCATGGCTAATGGAGCAGCCATCCTGCTGAGGCCGTAGGACATTCACACCGTGATCCACTTAGATTGATAGATGATTTACCCAGCCCAGAAGGGTACACAGCCTCGGATAGGCACGTTGTGAAAGACGGGGAAATCGTTTGATAAGATACTACCTCCGCGGTTGGATCCCGGCTATTCAAGCTAGACAGGGGAGGGGGAGGGGGGTTAGGAGCTTGAAAGAACGACCAGAAAGGAAAGAGGAATCAAGATGGGGCAGGAACGGCAGGCCACGAGTCGTGGTGGCAAGGAAGAGCCAACTAGATAGAGGTATAAGGCAGAAGGGCAGCAGGAAGGACGAGCTAGTGGGATGAGGGGGAGGATGGAGCAGGAGCGAGGAAGCAGCATGTGCCCGCGTTAGACTGGCCCGCATCCGGGAGATCGTCGGCCGTCGTGCGTCATGGGTGCATCAACTGGTCACGTGTGCACTTGCTCCTTGCTCGGTACATGTCCCCCCTACACAACCATGCGAGTGTGCCTACAGAGGACGTTCTATAGATCTACGAGTTGTCTAGGCTCTTCTCCGTACGGCGTGGTAACATCCCTGTTGCTCGATTCGCCCCACCATTAATTGGCCAGGGCAAGCAACGCAACTGCACTCAGTCCTCGGCCATTAGTTCCGCCAGTTCCCGCTCCTCTTCTTCCGTCAGCATCGTCCCCGGATTTTGTTGCTCTTCCTCCTCGTCCTCGTTGTTTTTCTTCGCCTTTGCTACTGCGATTTCGAGTTCATCGGGTTTCAAGGACCACTGGCGGATAGTGGCATCGATACTGACGCTGACTACAGTCGATCCGAGAAGCACAAGCCCCGTAACCTCTTCGTAGTGGCCGGAGAAGGTATGGTAAAGCTGTCCGGTCTGTCCAGTAGAAAGTACGATTGTCAGTCAAATCTTCATCGCATAGAATACACCGTGGCTTGGGAATGGTGAATATGTACGCACCGATCGATTCCACACGCGAACTTCCTCATCTCGGCACGCAGTAATCACCCAGCCTCCTTGTTCGTAAACCACTACGTCTCGCACATAATCCGGGTGAGTCAGCGTCAAGTTGGGCTTCCATCCATCGTCTCTCACAAGACACTTGGATGTCTTGTCCGCCGAAGCAGTCCACAGATCAGCGTCGCGGTCAAAGAAAAGCTTGTGGACGTTGGTATCGTGGGCGAGAAGAGCTTCTGTGCCAGTAAGGTCTTTACTGCCAGTAGAAAGGTCAAATTGACGAATCTCTCGGTCACTACCCGCACTGAACACAATCAATTCGGGCCCGTCTGAGTCGAGGGAAACGGGATCGAGGGCGAGGTCCTGAATCCCCTTTGCATGCCCCTTCATCACCGCGAGTCGCTGGCCGGTCGCGATGTCGAATACCATGATTTGTGCATCGGCGCCTCCCGAGACAAGGACATCCTGACCTTGTAGTCTCGTGCTGACAACAGACCTTACAAAGTCGGTATGACCCTCGTAGCGCAACTTCGGCTCCCTCGATTCCACATCCCAACTCCAGACCGTCTTGTCCCAGCACCCCGCAAACAGCAACCGGCCATTGGGGCTAAAGCATATACTCGTAACGGGGGCAGTCGGGCCTTTGAAGAGAGCTGCAGTTTCACCGGTCTATAAGGGAGAGACGAGAAGGGAAAGAAACGGCTTAGCCGGGATATTCGTAAGGCATCCAGCAGCGAGATTACCATGCACCTACTTCGAGTATGACCTTCCTAACCGTACCACCACTCTGAGCGACATAGACGGACCCAGTACTCAAAGGATCGGCTGCGACTGCGAGAATCTTACTCTGAAGACGGATGGGATCGCCATTGGTGTTTTGTGATTTCACATCCTTTCGCTTCTGCTCATCAAGGGCGGCTCTGGGAGGCGTGGGGCATCAGCGACTAGCTTGCGGATAGGAGCTGGGCGGTAGGTAATAGAGTGACGAACGTGGTTTGGAAGAAATCATCCCGGTGGGAGGATTGGGCCATAGTGGTTGGTAGGGGGATCCTAATAATGTGTCTATTGTAATGATCAAGAAGAAAGAGCAGTAACCAGGAAATGGGAACTGTGGTAATAGCCAAAGTAAGACCCAAACAGCACTGGTCTGAGATGCTATCCACAAAACCAGCTTTGGTGAATAATGAATACTAGCATTCCCCGCCAAATGCGCTCACGTGGTCCATTCGGGCAAAACTAACGAAGGAACTGCATGTTGAGCTTCTCCCGCCCACCGGAGCCCCAGCCTTTCCCACCACAAAACCTCCGTCGTTCGTTTTTAAACCTTTTCTCTCCCTCATCTTCCTTCTTCTCTCTTCCTCCCACTTCCTTTCCCTTCCCCCCCTCCTCCACCTCCCTGCCCATTGAACAGAATTTTCCCTCTCCTTCCCTCTCTCCCTCCCCTGTTTCTTTCTTTTCTATCTTGCGCGTCAATCGCGCACACTCCCCTGTCAGCATGGATATGAACCATTTAATAGGGTCAGTGTTCTATGCCACTACTGGTCTGAACCAGGGTTTGTGCGGCTAGGCGGGAGTTAACACCTGGCAGTCAGCGTTTCAACCTGATCTCCAAGAGTGACATTCGGTATGTTCGATCCTTCCCTCCCTTTTGCTTTTGGCCTTGGCTACAGCTGCTTCGTCATCGCACCTGGCTGCCCCCCGGATTATACTAATACTGACTTGACCTTGTCAGTTATGTTGGAACGTTGCATGAGATCAATCCTGAAGCCTCCACCATAGCTCTGGAGAATGTTGTCTCTTTCGGGACCGAGGGTCGTCGAGGCAATCCCGCTGAGGAGATTGCCCCGTCGGCCAGCGTCTACGAATATATTGTCTTCCGAGGCAGTGACGTAAAAGACATTAGCGTAGCAGAGGACACGAAGGAGAACACTCCACCTGAACCTCCTCAGGTGCCAGATGATCCCGCCATCTTAGGGGTAAGTTTATCAACTCACAACTTCATTCCAAACCTTACCTGCCCTTTGAGTGCTTTGCGTCCACGGACTTGTTCCGTATGGACACTCGATCAAATGATGAAATATTTCGGATGTAAACTCACAGACCTGTTCCGAATTGCGCAAACAATTCATGTGGATATTTTCCGTTGCCTTCCTTCTGAATGATCGAGAAGCAAAGCACTCTTAATCTTGCCTTGTCACACATATTCTCTTTCTCAAGCCATGATACTAATTGAGTTTCATGAAAACAGAGTATGTCTCGTCCGGGACCTACTTCCCAGGGCTTGCCTCCGTCACAACAGCCTCAGGTGCCTCGTCCGGCGCCTCCTGGCTACCCTCAACAACCGCAGTTCCAAGGCTTCTATCCTCCATATGGACAACGCTTTGGAGCCCCCGGTTTCCCTCCTGGACCTGGTTTTCCTAATATGCCGTATGGAGCCCCGCCACCAGGATGGTTTCCTCCCCCGGGTCAAGGATTCCCCCAAGGACCAGGCCAGTTCCCTCCCCAGATGCCTATTGGACCCCCTGGCCAACACCAGACCCCTCCTCCGCAGCGACAGGGGGTACCTGGCGCAGGCCCCGTAAATGTCCCTAAACCCACCTCTGAGCTTCCCGTTGGTGACCGGCCGTCCAGTAAGCCAGCCAGCCGGAATGCTACACCCGCGCCTGGAGTCTCTGCTCAGAATGCTCCTCCGCCCCCTGTTGAATCGAAACCATCTGTAACGGAGGCCGTACAAGCCTCCAGTATTCCTGCTGCTGCCGCGGCTCCGACTCCGGCCAAGATGCCACCTACTGGACCCCGGAGTGGACGTGTGCAGCCGGCGATTCCGATCTCTGCTCCCTCCAAGCCACCTGTTCCTGCTGTAAGCAATCCTCCTGTCGCTGGCGCTGGGAGCAGTGTGCCGCAAGGTACCGCTCAGGCGGCCATTACCGAGGCTACGCGTGCTGCCACGGCTGCTGTTGCGGCGGCTATGGCCAAGCTGCCCCAGCCAAACGCGCCCAAGAAGCCTGCGCATGGAGAAGTGTCCGTTGAAGGAGTAACGAGACAGATGGCGGAAATGAAGCCGTATGAGGGCAACCGCGCACCCCGTGGTCATCAGCATCCCCGTGGACGTGGCGGTCACCGTGCCCCATATCAGGGACAGTCGAAGAAGGTTGAGGTTCCTGATACGGACTACGACTTCGAGACTGCCAACGCCAAATTCAACAAGCAAGACCTGGTCAAGGAGGCCATTGCCACTGGGTCGCCTGCCCATGAGGCTGAGACTGCTTCCATCACTAACGGGGACATTGAAGCGCCTGATACCAGCGCTGATTCCGTGGCTACCTACAACCGGGCGACTTCTTTCTTCGATAACATCTCGAGCGAGGCTCGTGATCGTGAAGAGGGAACAGGAGGCCGTGTGGGTGGCCGTGAATGGCGCGGCGAGGAGGAGAAGCGCAATATCGAGACCTTCGGGCAGGGTAGCGTTGACGGTTACCGGGGAAGCTACCGTGGCCGTGGCAGAGGAAGAGGCTATGGCCGTGGCCGCGGTGGCTACGGACGTGGGTACTCTCGGGGTCGTGGAGGCCTTCGTGGAGGTCGCAACACTTCGCAAGCCACCGGCGTGCCTACCCAGACATAGGCGAACCCTCGTCTGACCATACTTATTCTTCCATGTTGAAACTTATTACCATGCGTTTAGCGTTTTGAGTGGCTTTGTCTTTTTACTTTTCTTATCTTGCTTTTCTTTGTGCGCTTTGGGGAGTATTGAAATCCTTCCACAACTTTCTGCTTCTGATATCCCTGGCGTCTGATGGAGCATCCTACGAGTACTTGAGCTTGGCATTGTACATGTCGGGACATTTCGGATTGTGATTGGGATCACTATGGGTTACGGTGGGATTGTTGAGCTTCGTGGCTGAAAGGCTACGGTTGCATCTGGTGTCAAATTTGGCGTTAAATAGTCGCATGGGTTGGTCGTGGGCCTCCTTTGCCTTGCTTGTCTGGACGATGATCATGTCTTCTTTCTTGATGATGCCCGCCCGAGGAAAGGGCGAGGCTTTTGCCTGAGTCTGACGCTCCCAGAAGCTGCTCTGGTGGACTCGAGTCTATGTATCATACTACGAGATGATTCCCCTTCGCATGCAAAACCCAAAAAAAGGAGGCCAATTGGTCTACCAACAGGTGTCTTCTGCTCGTAGTTTAGTATACCGTAGTTGGTGCTCTCAAACTGTCTCGGCCTTGTTTGGAGTATGGACAACTTGCCGCATGCTATGGGGTAATCCCGCACGGGGTAGTTTAACTTCTCCTGGCAAAGCTTGTTCAGCATAACCCCTGCCGAAGGTCACCTTTCGTAGTCCAGAAAATAAGTGTATCAGACGTTCAATTCAATCTCTTGTTCTCCCTTAGATTCGACGGTTTTATCGGCTGAAAGGCTTAATCACCCTCCATCATGCGGGGAGAGCTTCCCCCCCCCCCCCCCCGTTCCGTGGAACCGCCGAAGGCCATCAACTGGCCAGGGTCCAGCGAAGGCCACCATGGCAATCACTTTTGCTCGCGTCGGGGTCTCTCCACTCTCAATCACCACATCACCGATAACCTCTGATTCGTGCATCCTGGTTTGGCATGTCCATCCTGCCCCATCTTCGGCAAAATCGCCCTCCATTTCGGGGCTCCTTACCTCGGCCAAACTGATAGAGACTGAGCTTCTTCGACCGATTTGTGATACCTGTGGGGGGGACAGCTCAATTTTTGGCCTGCACCAAACGGCACTGGCCACTAAGATGACAGCAGAGAGTTCTACCATGACGCAGACTGGGTCGGGGAGAACAAGAATGCTCATCCGAGTCCCACCTCCCCTCATTGCGATCTCCGAGGGAGGGGAAGCAGCATGACATCTACTGAGCGCTGCACTATATAGCCAGTCACAGCTAGTTTCCTTGCATTCTTTTTCTCTGGCACTTCAGACACTGTGAGCGAAGTCATCTCTATAATATAGATCGAACTCATCCCCTCACATCCTACTCCTTTGTGTGCCGGTGCTACTACTTGCCATGTCTGCAACCAAAACACAAGTCCCTGACCAGCTCCCCTGGGATCCCAACTGCACCCAATTTCCCTCTCGCAAGGAGCTTCCCAAGATCCCAGGTGCTCCGGATGAAGCCGCCTGGGTTTGGGGCAAAGATGATTCGGTATGTGAACTACTAGGTTGCTGGTGGTCCGTTCCGAACTATATACTAACACAATAGCGTATCCCAGCTAGGACGACTGAACCTGCTCACACCAGAAAGAGTCAAAGCAGCCGCCGCAGAGATCCAAACTGGCGAGATGATTCGTCTCGAGTGAGTGCTTCTACTACTAAGTCCTGTAAGCATGAGTACTATGATGGCCAACTTCCACCCGCAGTCTTCCGTTGAACGTTCCAAACCCACCGGCATTTGAGCGTCAATCCTTCGAGCACAACATCAAAGAGCTCATAAAAGACGTTGTCTTCGACGATACTTACTCCCTGAACACGCAAAGCGGCACTCAGTGGGATGGATTCCGTCACGTACGATACTCCCACTCGAAGTTCCTTCCCAACTCCTAGCATACCTATCTATCTATACTAACAAACAAAACTGATATAGTTCGCCCACGGCGAATCCAAAACCTTCTACAACAACGTACGCATCCCCAACCCAACCCATACAACCATAAACTAACCCGCCCCCAATCCACCAGACCAAAGCAGCCGACATCATCGGCCCGTCCTCCACAGACCGCTGCAGCATCCACCACTGGGCCACGCACGGCATAGCCGGCCGCGCCATCCTCCTAGACTACAAACACTACGCCGACACCCACTCCATCACCTACGACCCCTACACCACGCACCGCATCAGCTACGCCTCCCTGCAAGCCTGCGCCCAATCTCAAGGCCTCGACCTCCGTCCCGCCTCCCAAGGCGGAGACATCAAACCCGGCGACATCCTCTTCATTCGCTCGGGCTTCATCGAGCGCTACTACGCCCTGACTCCCGAACAACGCGCCGAATATGTCCTCAACCGCCCCCACACTGACCTCCATTTCGCAGGTCTGAGCCAGGAAGAACCTATCCTCGATTGGCTGCATGATTGTTACTTTGCTGCTGTGGCGGGGGATTCGCCCACGTTTGAGGCTTGGCCGCCTGAGAAGGAGGACGGGTTCATTCATCAGCAGATTCTGGCGCTGTGGGGGATGCCGTTGGGTGAGATGTGGGATTTTGAGACCCTCGCGAGGAGGTGTAGGGAGATTGGCCGGTGGGTGGTTTTTGTGACGAGTGCGCCGGCGAATGTTGTTGGTATGTCTCCCTCTTTCTCTTGTGTTGTGTTATTGTTGTTCTTGGGGTTTGGGATGGGATTGCTAATGTGTGTGTTGTAGGGGGGGTGGGGTCGCATGCGAATGCCATGGCTATTTTGTAGTTTGTAGATGGGGTTACTCTTTGAGGTAGGTTGTGTGTGTGTGTGTGTGTCTCTGAGAGAGACGACGCATGTTGGTGGTGGTGGTAACTGGTTGGTATGATTGGATGCATGAAGAGGTATACAGCTAGTACAGCGTATATTCAGCACTTACGAACACAACAGCATTAGGAATATATCTTTCATGTTCAATTCATTATGGGTCATCAAGTCGTTACACTCGTCAAGAAACAATAGGAAATAGACATAGGAAAATGCCCCCCTCACTACCATATCAACTTCTTTCCTCCACTGATGCTATCCAAGCAAACAACACGGGTGTAGGGTGAATCCAATGCAGCTGCATATACCCAATGCCGTCTCTTTTTGCGTCCAATTCATCATGCATCATCCTTCTTCAACATCTGTTCATGCTTCATGTTTCATCTGTGATCTTCACAGATATCAATCAACATCCACTACCCAAGGGTGGGATAGTCATGTCTACCATTACCAACGAGCACAGTCCAACTGTTCAAATCTAGTGAAGACTTCAAAAGAAATCTTCCGGCCATTGAAAACTCCCCCTCTTCTCCCCATCCTCTGCTTTCCCTCCCGCCAACGCCCGAGCCTTATCCCGCGCCTCGCGCTTCTTCCCCATCTCCTTGGCAATCCGTCTGTCGACCTTCGCGGCCGTAGCAGAGAGATCTTTAGGGAGGGGCGGCACAGGAGGGATATATTCATATCGGGCAGGCTTCTTTTTACTCGGGGATGAAGGAGAGGAAGAAGAAGAGTGAGGACTCTCGACTGTCTCGTTCTTCATTTCCGGTTCGACTAGTCCCTGAGAACCGTCTTCCTGAAGGTTATGGATTGGGTCGCTTTGGTGGTAGTCATGGTTCTCTTTGTCGTCTTGGGGTGGTTCGCTGGCACTCGCCGAACGGAGGTCAGAGCGGGCCTTTTTCATGCGGAGGCTAGGTTGGATCCGGTTGCGCGAGTTGGAGGCTCGACGGCGCGCGGAGGGAGAGCGGGTGCTTGCGGATCGGAGGGGTTGGGAGCGGCGTCGACCGCGCTCTTCGCCGGAGGAGTAGACGGTTGTCGATATGTCTTTGGATTGCTTGCGCTCGACGGAGCCGGGGCTGTCGCTGGTGAGCATTTTGGGGAGCTTGGCTCGGCGAGGAGTTGTGGCTTCCTCGGATTCGGAGGGCTTGTCGGCACCCGGTGTGGTTGAGTGCTTTTGGTCTTTCTGTTGAGAAGTCTTTAGAGACTCCGGGTCTGGGGATTTACGCTTGAGGGACGGACTGTCTGCACTTAGGGAGCTTCGTCCTTGACGTTCCTTAGGGGTCTTCGGGGTAACATGTGGTGTCCCGGCGAGTTCGTGCGGACCGCTGCTGGGCGGGTTTTCGGGGCGTCGCTGGGCGTTGTCTGCCAGGGACGCCACGGGGGCTGATGCAGTCCTTGGGGACATAGGCGATACTGTTGCTGCTGCTTGATGCAACAGCCGCTCTGAAGGAAGCGAGGGGAGCGCCCCGGGGACAAATTTTCTGGGGTAGGTAATCTCTGGTAAGGGGATTGGTGCCAGCACCTCCTGCTCCTCACCCACCAATTCGCGCAACTCTCGTCGGGCCCGTTCTAGCTTGATCTCAAGATCACTGACTCGCTTCATCAGTTTGGCTTGCCGTTGAAGCTCCTTGCGTGACTTCTGCCGTCGCACTGCAGATCCCTCCAGCTCTTCCGGGAATTTATTTGAATCTTGCCGTCTCACCAGGGGTATCCCCAAAGATGACTTAGCTTTCCGCAATTCTTGAATCGACGACCGGAGGGAGTTGCCTGATTCCGTGAGCTCGCCCGAATTCTGGCGCGAATGACCCCCAACGGGCCTATATTCCATCTGCTCGGGAATCGGATTCCACGACCGTTGGGGCGTGTTGGACTCTGCATTCAGATTTTGTAAGTAGCTTCCCTTGACGGTCCCCTTGTAGCCAGACTTCTTCAGCTCCGCATATGCCCTCTCCGCCTGACTCAAAGGGTCACCCGGCTGTTTGGCACCTCCGTCTGCCGGTCCGGCCTTTGATCCCCAGGCGCCGAATGGGTTAAAGGCCGATGCGATTGCCTTTCCAAAGCGGAAAATTCCCGAGGGCCGCTGGCCATTGCTGCTGTTACGTGCGTCATCGCGCATGAAGATGCTCGGCGGTTTCTCGCTCACGCTGTCATTCATGCTTCCCTCAACAAATCGCGAACGTCGACCACGAGCAGATGGACCAGCCTGGCGCATATGCCTTGATGTCCGTGGGGAGCCATTGCCCCTGCTGTTCGCAGAGTGAAATGGCCTGCGATATCCCGTAGTCGTGGTAGTCGTAGCAGTCGCAGTCGTAGTGTCGCCGCTCGGATCCTCCTTCCGCGCTGGGGCATCACTATCAGTGGCATGAGTATCATCTCGCTGCTGCAGTGGCCAATCGTTCGAGCGCCGTCGTTTGGCCGAGTGAACGGATGGCGACCTGCTCCGGGCGGGAGGATGGTCCAGCTCGTCTGCATCATCGAAGCGACCCGACTCATCAGTGCTGAACCCGGAATCAAGGCTGCATTCGCTGACATTGCGCGCGTGCTTGCGAGCCTGGGTTTCACGGGCCGCATGGTCAGCGCAAGTGGACTGCAGGGTCTGCTCAAGCTGACGGTCGGTCTCCAGAGGGTCGAGGTCCATGGTCGTGGTGGTGCATCCGAGATCCGAGGCCAACTGTTGTCCGGGGGGAAAATGATGGGTCAGATCTTTTGGTTCACACAGGATCCGCCCGCGCAAGGGAGAAAAAGAGTGGATGCTATCAAGTAAAGAGCGACTTACCTCGGTCGCAGCTTCGCGATCCGTCATCCCGTCAGTCACAACGTTCCACTTCCACGGGTAAGTATGGAAGGATGGAGCATTGGACACCAGGGCCAGCGAGACAATGGATAAATAAAGAGACAGGCCGCGTGAACCAGAGCGATGGAGACAGCCAACAGGGAAGCGAACAGACGGGGAAGCCGGAGTGGGGAAGATAGCGATGGGTCGTCAGCTGGCAGATGTGGCCCGAGTGGTCGGCAATAGTGTCAATATCTCGTAAGATCTGTCTAGCGGTGAGAGACAGCGAGGAGAACTGATTTGACCCGAGGGAATGGGATGGTGGTGATTTGTTGTTGACTGTTGACGGTGCATTGTTGATTTGTTTACTTTCCCCGCCCGAGTTCCTGGGCCAGCCGCCAAGCCGCACCAGCCCGTTTGGCGCCAGACTCGGGCTAATCAAACATACCAGAGCGACGGGCAAACAATGCTATCGTCTGAAAGAAAGGCATGTGCACAATAGTGCTTTTATCCAAGGAAGAATTAATGACAAATGAAATGGAATGATGAAGAATGCATGCGATGGGAATACGAAGCATCGCTCTAGATATGGGCTGCAGAATCGCCGAGCTTAACCGGTCACAACACAAGGAAATAAAACTCAAATCGGCCTGGGCAGGTTTCAACGAAGATGGGACTAGACTATGGCATTGCCGTCATTTGGTATTAAGTCCCAAACGATCCCAACCCAGGATGAAGAGAAAGGACCGACAAACAATGTGGGGAATATGTATGAACAAAAAGCAGGTATCACAATCATTTACAGAAAATAGCCAAGATGCCGCGGACGATGTGGTATAAACGTCAAGAATGGTGTCGTAAAGAAAATGGAACCCCCCTGGGACCGTGTACCCAGACCAGAGCTCCCCCTGTTTCCCCTACCAACCCCCCCCCCACAACCCAAATTACAGATTCAATTGCACGACCAGACGCCGAGACACCTCCCTTGTATAAACAGTGCTGTATGTATGCATGGTTTCCCTTCTGTCGATCTCATTAGATGGCCGGAGATATTTTGGTGGCCATCCGACCGTTGGCCCGCTTGTATGCCATTTCGTCCCGGTCGCTGAGTAGCGTCGCCCGGTGAACATCCGACGGCCTGCGGTCCGCGCTGGGGTAGCTGTCGCTGTCGGGCCGCATGCCATTGTAGAGTGGGCGCTCGCTATGACCAAACGCATCCTCATGAGGTCGCTTCGACGAGGCTGCCGCGCGGGTGTCCCACAAGAATCCCCTGGGTTCCCGGTTCGGACTAGGCGCCAGATTGCTCGGTGGCTGCGGCAGATTATTCGAGTATTCGGCGGAGATGGAGGCGATGGGCGGAAGTGAAGGAGCGGCGTTGGAGGGAGTTTGAGCGCGAGGTGGCACAGGATTGGCCATGGCTCGATATGTGGTAGGATCTGAATGTTGCAGTACGCGGATAGGTGGCAAGGGCTTCGAGTAGGTAGAACGCTCCGCCGGCAATCGGGAGGGAGGATAGCCAGAGGGCATCGGCTCGTATTCAGTGCTTGTTGACGGGTTCCTCGCGTGAGTATAAGTGGGATGAGGAGAATAAACCTGGGTTGGCGTGGTTGCGGACTGAGGAGTGCCAGGTAGCTGCGGGGCTGGATACTGAGTCCGCGTCGCGCCGAATGAAAGATGCGAAGTGTAAGAGGAACTGCGAGAAGGCGCGATGGGAGCAACTGGAGTGGGTGTAGAAGAGGACGGTGGTGCAGGAGCAGGCGCCGGCGGGATCGCTCGTGGATAAGCTTGAGGATTTGAGAAGCCGTACTCCGTGGCAGATGGCCGACGAGAAGCCTCAGGCCCATAGGAGAAAGCAGGGTCCACGGACCCAATGCTGGTCGATCGTGGACGCTCAACAGGGTTCGCGTAGGCGTCAGGGGTTGAATACCGATCCGGAATACGGCCGCGGTGGGAGCGTTCCTCATCAAAGTCGTAGTCGTCAGATCGCTTGTCGCCACGTCGTCTCATACGGACGTCGCGCCTGATACGGACCCGGCAACCTTGTTCTGCAATGATCCGGCTCAAGGAAGTGCTGGTGGTCAGACCGGGGAACTTCTTGGCACTGAAAACCGTGAACGGGACCGAGACGACTTCGAGACGGAAGTTTAAGAACGATTTGGGAATTGAGGGCTTCCCCTTCATCATAGGTGACCGAATCGGTGCGCTTTCATCCGCATCCTTGCTGTCCTTGGTCTCCTCGTACAAATGGAAACTCAACCGATAGATACCCTCATGCCGGACGGAAAGGTCGGGGAAGATGAAGTATCCAGCCTGAGACGGACGATCCAAATATGCCACTCCCGCCACCGGGACACCTGTGAGGACGGGAAACGTTGGGGTCGGGGCAAGCCGTCATTGCGCCATGGGGCGAGCTGTTTCTAGCGTAGCAAACAGGAAGAAATTGGCGTTGTAGGCGAAGGTGATATCTGTCTTGTGTACGTCATCGTTCGGATCGGACTCGAAGATACGCAACTCGACAACCGGTGGGGGATCAACAGGGCGGCGGTCCGCAGATGCTGGCAACAGTCAAACATGGTCAGCCTGGTCTTCAATAAGGTCCGCATTGCGTGCAGGGAGTGATGCGTACATTTGGCGCCGGCACCGCATGCTCTTGCACGTTCAGGCTGTTGCATAACATTGAGCTTGTATGTGATCCTTTTGCCTTCACGAGTGATCCGGCTGACGGAATGCTCCGTCTCGTTCACCGGAGGCGAAAGGGGAGGTCTAGTGGCCATAATGTACAGAATGTTCGATTGACCTGCTGTGGCATTAGCATTCCCCATCCCAAGCCCGGTGCGCTTGCCGCGGCAGGTAAATGATGGCAATCTGCTTCAGCCGCCCGGGACTTACTTCGTTCTAGATTGAACAGTAATTATATCGAAGCAGGCATCGAAATGTTGTGCAGATTAAATTGATAGTGATTGTCGTCCTCCTTAGCCAGTCCTTAGGCGCGACCGAGCGTAAAATCTATGGGAACCGATCCGGCGGTTGGAAGACACGGACAGAACTTGGCGAGTGGTGAGGTTGGGATTGATATCGGTCGCTCCAAATTATATTATGTCGAATGACAGCATGAAAGGGCTCGACTGAAATTTGAGAAATGGAAGCAAGTGGATGAGAAAAAGTTGGGTCTGTCGTGGGCGGATAAGCGACAGAATGGCTGATAGCCTAGCAATTGACCCCAGCGGGCTATGGAGAGGGAAAAGTAAAAGAGAAAGAGAGAGAGAGGACGGATGGGTAGGGAGAGAGATTGGAGATGGATGGGTCGATGGAGGAATGGATACCACCAGCAAGAAGCAGCGTGACCGACAAGAAGAGGGTGAAGAGGGAGGGGAGAAGAAGAGATACAGAGACAGAAAGAGGAAAGGGTAGGAGGGTGGCAGAGTCAGCCGTAACGAGTCGTTCGAAATGGCAGATGAAGGTGCGCTATAGCGACTATACCTACCGTGGACCACACCCACTTTGGCGGGTGGAACTGGGAAAGACTTACACAACTTGACCTTCTGGCTGGGTAAGCCGGCTCCGAGGGTGTGGGTGTAATTGGGTGAAATTAGCCTGCTCCGCGGACGGCCCACTTCCGGGTCTGGCTCTTACAGTTTTGTCTGAAGGTACGACTTTTCCACATTCATCGACGGGAATAACTACTACTACTCACTTACGAAGCACTTACTTACCTTACTTGTGGAAAAGTCCGGCTTCAAGGTATGAAATTCTCCTGGAGGGGGGAGTTCATTGATTTCACAGACTACTTACCTACTTTGTAATTCTCCATGTTACCATCGTGACTACTTACAATTAAAGTGGTCATTCGTCATACATCGTCTTCCGTTTTTAATACATCTCTGGAACATTTTCACGTACTTCCCATTAGATTACCCGGTCACCCCCAAGGATTGAAGGAGACTAAATCTGCGCTACTGAGCCGGAGGGGTGGGTACTGGGCCGGACTGAAAAGGAGATGGAGCCAGAAGAGGGGAAACGCAGGCCAGCCGATCCACTGGGAGGCCACGCTCCTGCTTTAGCCCAGTGCTAAGGCAGCGGTTAGGTTCAATGGGACATTACAATCGCAACTGCGACCCCCTTGGCTTGCCTTTTTTTTACCTTTGGTATAAAAAATTGAGAAAAGAAATGAAAATAATATGACAACAAAAAGGATTTGTAAATCCAACCCAAGAAAGGCAAAATGAGAAATGGAAGCAGGGACTAATTTCCCAAAAGAGCAAATAAAAAATACTTACAAATCTTATCGGTAGTCGCTGAGGGCAGTGGGTCTGGCTCTGGGGGCTTTTCCGGCCGGGCGGGAAGGGCAAAGGTCCGTGAATCTCAAGAGGAAAAAGAGGGGGGAACAACGTCTGTTTCGTATTTGAGAGGAAAAGAGAAGGGGGCTTGGTTAGAATTCCTGATACTGACTGGGAGGGTGACCTTTTCGGCACCGGCAGAAATATTTACAGATTTTGCAATTTACGAGGTCTGAACTCCCTGGTCGGATCTTCTTCATGAAATAAATAACAACTACTCCGTACTATACTAGTTCGTTAGACAGGGACAACTGGGATAAGTAAGCGACTCTCTTGGAATAGTTACCCAGATGCTAGCGACTTAAACAGCTTAGTGAGCTGCCATCCTTGATAAGCGACGCAATCTGAATGGATGGAACTTGATCGAGGCGAAGTTTCTCAAATTGCAGCTGGGCAAAGAGAATTCTTTTCGAAATACTAGTAGACTAGATCCTCGTAACTGCCAGTTGCAAGCGCCCAGCTTAGGCCGGCAGGCTAAACTAGACTCTAGGGGGTTGTGCGGAAAGACGATCTCGCGTCAAACTGGAAGGTGATTTTCTGGCGGTCGCGTCGCTTCCAAATCGATGCACATTATGGGGTAACCAGTCCGCATTAATGCTATTGGGTTTTCTTCCTGATAGTTTGTCGATGTGAGATCTGTAGCTTGGGAAAGTCCCGGCACGGAGAAGAGGCCGATAGGCACGTCCGAAAACTGGAGAAGAGCCCGCTTTTCCCCCTTCCCCTCTGCCTTACAAAGCTCTTACTTATCTTGGTGCTCGCTATAATTGGGAATGTTCTGCAGCACGGACTTTGCTCCCTCGAGATGGATCAATAATCATACGAATAATCATCAGACTTGGACAATAATAGGTGGATGACCATCCACAAGGAGACTTGACCTCGGTGGTATAGCAAAGCTGACCTTTTCAGCTGGGAGTAGGACTGAGTTTACGGCACGGCGTAATTAACCAGAGTGTTGGTAACCCACCGGACTCCGATCCAGGATGGGCTCATGACTGATCATTGGATTCCGACAACACTTCACATGAGACAAGTGCTTACCCGACTCGACCCCCTGTCCGTCACGTATAACACACTGTATTATTGGGCTCGCAATTACCCAGTCCAGCGGGCCGGTTGCTTATCCCAAATGCCTGGGAGCTGGGAAAGAAGAGGAGCTTTGAAGGATAGCGGGGGTTGGTCAATGCGCTCTTTGTCTTCTTGTTCATCGCTAGCCTTTTTGCCAACCCTGCAGGTTTGCGTGCTATCTTGTATCTGCTGCACGGCCAGTCTCGGGGAGCGTCAGCAATCCCGCATGGAGAGGGTTGCCCCATTTGTCAGTCGAAATCGAACGTTTTGAAAAATATACTACTCTTGTGCGATCCTGAGAATCATTAACAGTGGCAGAGTTGCTTACTTTGGCACTTTGCCCAAAGCGGCCTGCCACTGGACCGCTGGTTGGTGAGTGGCCTTGAGATAAATATGGCACGCTTTTTGAGTTTGGCTAAGTCCTTCAGTACGCTGCGTGCTCCGAGCCCTGGAGCCAATAATCTTGAGATAGGAGATATTCGAATCTTCCCCTACGACTACTACTTATTCAAGGTGTGAGACGGTCGCCAAAAGATGACTGGCTATCGTATCGGTATGGCTTGCTTTCTGGTTCCTAATTAGGGCTGGCCACATGCGAACTACGATGCAGCAATGCAGGTTCCATGCTCTCTCTCTCTCTCTTTTCCTCTTCTAGGTAAGCAAGCAGGCAGGCAGTCATTGGCGAGGAGCAGTTGGATGGCAGGTGAGCGAATGACAATCGTCCGTCCATAAAAGGTGATTTCCGGTACCGGCCGAAGGCGAACCAAACAACAATCCGAGAAAAGCAAATCTGGCACCGATCGAAGCACTGCCGATCTTAACTGAAAACTACAGGAGCCTGGGATGTGGAATCCTGTCGCAGCCCCCTCCAAATAAAATTGGATCTGCACGAAATGGCCTCTCGTAGGGAGCCCGGACTGTTCACGGCTTTCAGGGATTCCCTAGTGACAAAGCAGGTCGTCAGCTCGACAATGGGAGCTGCCCCAGCCCCGATCGCTGAGCACCCGACCCCAAATCGTTGGAGGCCTTCTTTGGTCCTTCAGGTAATTTAGCCTTATGAGCCTGGCGCCTGCAGGCCCATCTAGGCCGTGGTCTTGCCTTCTTGGGAATGGCATCGGATCGCGTTCTGCGAATGACGATGACTCCTCAGCAAATCGGAAGCTGAGACTCCACACCCTCCTCTTTGCCCACCTGCGACATGATTCGACCATAGCTAGCGACTCCACTGGTACTGTCCTGGATGGGAAAAAAAAATAAGAAATAGAAAAATAAGATAAAACCAAGCGTCAGGCGCCGGCTTTGCCTGGTCCGTCCACCCGTTTGGCTATGGCCCTTGACTCATGTAAACTTGTAAAGCCGCCCCGATCATCGTGTGCCGTATTCCGTCCTGTGTATGTAAAATAGGATGGATAGCAGCCCCGAGGAATGAATGGAGGGCTGGATTGTGGAAGGTTTCATTCTGCCCCACCCAGACGGTCCGCACCGAATAAAGCGGCCCCATTCCAGCCAGATTGACAGTTTGGTTCAGCACCTCGGCTTTAGGCAGGCATACAATCTGCCAGGTGAAGAGGCAGTTGAAGACCTACACTGTGAGTTGAGCGACAGTAGCATTCTCGTTGTGTATAGAATTATTATACTACATACTATCCGGACTTAGTGTGACTGCGGCAAGATATGGTTCACAATGTTTCGGAACTCTCGAATGTACGAGGTCGGAACGTGGATGCTCGTTCTGTAACTTGAAGCTAGCTAAGTATGACATGGTCGAACCGACGTTTACCCTAACCACTATGAATAAATAGACTTGGTTCCTCAGGGGTAGCTGTGACAAGTTGCGGGATAACGGTGTGAGGGACACCTCGTGTATTTGCTATGGTGCAACCACCAACCAGTGCTACTACTAGTAGTACTTAGTACTACCACTTAGTACTACTCAAGTGCTATTTTAGTGGCAGACCGACAGACAGACTGACAGACTGACTGACAGACGGACTGATTTACTGTACCCTCTTGCCGGAAGAGAGAAATGAATGAAAGAGAGTCCCGGGCCCACACCGCACCTTCCCCGGCAGAATCTAGTCGATTTACGGGCGACTATTACCCCTGCGCTTCGGACTGGAATCTCAAAGGGGACTTTTCTCCGGAAAGATCTCCATGTCAATCACTCTAATCTCCTCCGTCTCTTGCTCTACCTGGGGATCATAATGAGGATCAGTTTTAGTAGCAGGTATAGTCTCGGCTGTTTATAGGGAGAGTGAGTCTGAATCATGTCATGCTCTCCCACAGGGAGCCGAGGGAAGGGATAAAGTCGAGTGGAGAAACCAACCAAGAAGCCACCGAAAAGCGATGATGACAGCGTGCATCGGCCACCATCCACTTGCATCGACATCCTGCTTCTCCTGTCATTAATCCTTCAGCCAGTCAGCAGCAACTAGCAGCGACTAGTACATAGTAGGTAGGTGCCTTGTGCTCCCATCAAGCACCATCACCACCGTTGTCATACCAAATTAAATACTGTTTCTTACGTGCGTGCCGCCGAGACATGGCACCACCACCGTCCGAGCGATCCATTCATTCTGCATGAGTTCCAGAAAGTTGCCAGATCCGAGCCGGTGCATAGTAGCACTAGACCGTTGAGTTTCCCTCTGGTAGTTTGACGTGTACTTTCATCAGAATACTTTGCGTCCAGACCGATCTACGTTGAAGGTTCGAGGCATCCAAGGCAAGCATGTTGGATGCACTCCGTGCCGTGAATGTCACCAGCACTCTTTCTTTGGGTCCGGATGCCTATGCTGCATAAGCCGAGTGTGCGCTATCGAGCGAAATTGGCCAGTAACCACCCTGTCGGGTCTACCCGCATGGATCTCCCTGGTCGGGCTGCATGGGTCATGTGTGGTGCTGGATGTCTGGTATTTGGGGAGGCGTAACAGGTAGAGTGGGAGAGAGAGCAAGCGAAAACTAGATGTGACTCACTGGGTGTCAGTTACAGAAGATCGGGCACATATTGGAGCAGGTCCTTGTTGTGGTTATCACACTGGTGACGGTTATTTCTATCTTTGGGGATATCATCACCAGATGGATTTACAGACAAGTACTTTGCGAGCCCCGACGCTAAGCCTGCTTGGGGGGGAAACGGGGCGGCGATGTGGCAATGCCACCTCACCACACCATCGCTATTATTGCGTTCGACCCTCGAAAACTCTCCTATCGACACTCTTCTGGTGGCATTGTCTTCGTCCCTCTCCCGAATATCTCGGACGGCGACATTCGGTCCTGAGTAAAAGTGTCTGTACAACCTTCATTTTGAGGCGCTCTCGGGGATTAAAAGCCACATACCGCCCTCAAAAAGTGAGTAAATGGTCGGCAAGACGTGTGTGCATTCCTCACATCTGCAGGAGACTCATCCCTGCTCTTGAACCGCATCGATCGTGGCAGACTACGGATTACTTTACGAATGGTCCCCGACAGCCTCCTCCTCCACCCCCCTCCCCTCCCCTCCCCAGTTTGGATTTTCTCCGCCAAGTTACATACCGAGGCTCGAGTCCAAGGGCTTCTTCCTAATCCCTATCTTATAAAAAGTGGCTGGAATGGATCCGGTAACTGCAAGGTGCTCCATTCAGAACTTACATACTTGGCAGGTCTCATGGTCATACGTAGTAGACTGGTGCGTAAATTTCGAGGTCATTGGAGGAAATAGTATCCTATGGAGTAGTAGCCGTGCGATCACCAGTGACATGACAACGCTAAAAGCAAAGAAACGTGAAAACAAAAATAAAATAGAAAATCATAATGAAAGCAAAAAAAGAAGAAAGAAAAAGAAACGCACCAACTGAAACCCTCTCGTGGACCATACTTGAGGTATGGAAAGTATACTTCATACTATGCATTCAAATCCCGTTAGCAAATCCCGCCATACACGACGTAGTATGAAGACAAAAGTACCACTACTCCCAAGTCACCTATCCATCTATGCAACTAATTAGTTGCTATTTCCGTAGGCGGTACCACCATCATATGCAGGATCATGAGTCTGGCATCTGGCACCATACTACTGTCTTATAAGCGATCGATGCACAACAAAAGCATATATTACATACTACTACACACACCTATGATGGAGTAGGTATGCCGATTATACTACTAACGAGTAGACTGTGCTTCGTTACTCTACTTACTCCTCTCACTCCTATTGCTGCTGCTGGTATCCTCTTTCTATTCTCATCCCGGTAGTTATCTACTCGTATGTCATTATTCCTTGCGTAGATCTTCATTTAACACCACACAACACAGAACAAACCCCTCACTGTGGCTGAGCGATCGGCTTCAAAGCTGCCTTGGAAACAAAAGCAAGTTATAATGATATCAAGATAATGGAAGCACATTCAAGGATTGAAGCTGATCATAATGTTCGTCTCTGGGAAATTATCCTCTTGGAATGTGCATACTCAACTATGAATAACTCTCATCATCATCATCACTTAGATAAAAAGCTGGCTATGTACTACCGATGCAACTTAACGGCATTATCATTTTTTAGTGCGTCGCATAGTAGGAAAGATCACAGAGGAGTGCACATTAGCTTCATCATCCTCCCCCCCCTCCATTGATGATCCACTCCGGAGGAAATAGTTTATCTATCTATCATGGCTGTCAAAATATTGAGTCACTGCACGGAGCTGGATGGCCCCCGCTTCTATTTCCGTCCCCTCCCCGTCCATCCTCACAGTAGTAGCTCTGACTATTGTAGCTATCTATCAAGCTATCTATGTATCGTACTTACTTAGTGGCCCCCCCAGAGACACTTAAGCATGTACATAGTCTACTCACTAGGGGGTCGACTAGTCTGATTATGTTCTAGCTGACCGTTATTTTTCTTTTGCCTTGGGTCTATACGCGACGCCGTGGTATCCGCGTCCCCACTCAATGTGATGCATCGAGTCCCCTCTCTCCTTTTCCCTCGTATCTCTCGGGATAAACGGGAACGGGGTGATTCACATGTCTCCAATCAGCGCGGGTGATGAAAGGAATTGCTTGGCTTTTATTCGTGTTTTGGAAAGGTACGGGGTGGGCACGGTGTCGGGACTTGAGTGTGCCTCTGGTCATTAGGTTAGAAGCCTTGCCCTTTTGTCTCTGGGTCGCCGTTGAGCTTGGACGCGGTCGCGGGTGCGCTGTCGTCTGTGCGTGCCTGGGCGGCCGGTGCAATTTCTGGGGTGGGTTTGACTGATCCCTTGGTGCTGCGTGGTGCAGAGTGGATGGTGTCTCCTTTGCACTCGCAGGGTATGTACCATGCAGCTGGTATAGGGGATCAACCGGCTTCGCCCTCAAAATCGAGAAGATGCCGCCAGTAACGTATCACTACACAGTAGTCCAGACCCTCTCAGACTGCTCGGGCCCGCTCGATCGGGTTAGACGTCACTAGATTGAAAATGTGACTATAGGACTTGATGTCCTAGAATTGGACGCCATTGCGCTGGTCTACTGGAAGAGCAGCTGTGCTGGAAACCTCTTCCACCAATAATATGGCCTCGCTGGCTCTGTATAAAGGTACGGAATCCGGACCTCTTTTGGGTCTCTTCTGCCAAGGCAATCACGATCTGCTCGAGAAATATGATGTCTCTTCTCTTCGTCAGCAGTACAGGCGAACGAAAGCCCAGCTACCGAACTAGTTATGAGTGTCATGTTTTGTCGCAGGCGTAGTTGCCTTGCTCTCGATAGGGTGCTTTGATAGCCCAGTAAGCAAGGTACCCACTGTTGCAGAAGTTCATTCTATCTACTGGGCTCCAAGGGTGCGGCCAAAGACGCATTCCATGCGACTTTTGACAGTAAAGGTCGTGGGGCAAGTATACTATCAGCTCGGCTTTTCGTGCCGGATGTCTCCTACCCTCGATAGTACTCTCTGGAGCACAGTATAGGGGTCAGAGGATCTGTTCGGGAACTGTGAGTGCATATCTGTGAAGTAATCTCTCAATGGAATAACGTCATAACTTTCCCTTAAGGCCTCAGGTCAGCAGTGCAGAGACAACATCCCTATGATCAGGATCATCGGCGCAGTAGGTCATGCGTCCGGGTCAAGACAGCTCCTGATCAATGCGAATCGGCGTTACAATCGAGTAGATCAATTCCTCTTTGAACCTTCGTGGTTGCTAGGATAGATGCATAATAACTCGAGGGGTGAAGGATCACCTTGGACATTCTCAGCAATATTCGTGGAATAAGCAAAATGATGAGCCAGTATGAGGCGTGGCATATTTCATGCTACAGTATATCACTAAAGATGGTTTAGCAGCCCTCCTCGAATATCCAAGCAGGGCCGTCATTGCTATATGCTGTCCTTACCCACCCCAGAATCATGCTAGAGAATGTTTTAGGTTCCTGATGCAAGGAGCGTGACCACATATCCATCCGTGTCTCGGCTATGTCCGTCACTGTCAATGTGCTACCACCCCTTTGAATGATTGTTCGTTTCCCACGCTTGCCCGATACGCTCATCCGAGATGCACCATGTGGCTGTACACAAATTCCGCTCCCTTACTTCTTCCATAAGCGCGAGTCATATCATGGATTCCAGCATAAGTCGGTGTTTCTATGCCCGCATAACAAAATGGTGATCACTGTACGTTCGAATGGGTATTGTACGCATAGCTTCGAGATGTGGGTTTTAGAGCTTGTGTGTTAGTATCAGATGTGTGAAAGAAATCAAGGATTCCATAACCAGAAGAGCAAAACACTGTCTTTGCCAGCGCATCAGATGGCACGGGTGTGCTTCGCGTCTTCATTGGATTCCTGTCTAGGGCTTAGTACAGGTGTGCAGCTGATGTGTCGCAAGGGTCTGAGAAGGAAGGCACTGTTGACAGTCTGAGTGGGAATTTGGGCATTGATGCACCCTAATTTCACGAGTCTCGACTCAGCCACTAGAGAAGGAGATACCTAGTGGCCTTTCTGCAATCGTCTAGTGTTGTCGACGTCGATCCAAGACCTCTGACCGATACTTTCAACACACCTCTGATATTCTACTTCTAGTCACAGCAACACGTCGGTATCATGCAGAGAGGCTAGGTAGGAGAGCTCACTTCCTTACATCCAGACTATCATATCCTGTCTCGCGCATTGGTCTCCAGTCTTGGTGCACATGATTGGGTTGATTTGCGTCACAAGTTCGCCGGTGGACCCCGTAGTTTGGAAGACTGCGAGCCCTTCAAAACCATCCAGAATGTACTCCCTACTCGGGCGCTGCTGCTGAAGAAGAGCACAACGGTCAGCCGAGCATATTGAAACTAATGCTCATTTGTGAAGACCAAGGGATAGATACCCATGGTCTATTTCTCAGACACGTTACTGGCGCAGTAGCTCCAGCTCTGTTTCTAGTATAAGTACGCGGGCCAGAACATTCACTTGACCAAAGACGAGCAGTGCTGGAAGGCAGGCAGCGGATGTCTATCTGGAGTCGCTCTAAGCCAGTGATAGAGACTGGTACAGCCTTGTTTCACCGAATAGTCCAGCTGCTGCACCGTTCACGAAATAGATTATCAAATCAGTTGATGAAGCCAGTTACGACAGCTAAGTCAGAAGGATGTTCTGCATGCTTCTAGTAGCTTGCAAAGCCCATTCAGGGTTCCAGAGTCGTAATGCAGATGAAAAAAAATGTAGGCTGACATTCAGAATATAGCCTGGCAGGTGATAGATAGTATTGTGGCGGCGAAGAGGCAACGATTGAAAGAATCAGGGTTTCCTTGAAAGCCTGTACTGCAGTGACAACTTAATCAATTAACATGTTAGCTCGTATGTGATCATTAGCCATCAACATGATGCTATGACTGCATCCTTTGAGTTGAATCGAAGTGACGGTGATGTCAAAGCACGGTGTGGTGGGATAGATATATCATCGAATGTCAAGGTATTATTTTGACATCACTCCGAGTAGTATGAGGAGCTAGACTCCACAATTTATTTCGATAGGTGGTAAGGTACTTGCCTGTAATAGTCACGAGTTTATCGCGAATAGACTTCAGGACAACTTCATACCACCGGAAAGTGAGTCGGACCAAACGAGCCCAAGAAGGGAAGCCGCTGGGCGGCAGCACGTGGACCCGCGTTTTCTCCGCGTCGCGCACGAGATGGCGGAGGGTCTCCAGTATCGACTTCCTCCACCTCTACGCTTATGGATCTTTTGTCGGTCCTTCCGGACTTCCCTACCAAGCCATATGCTCATATTCTCCCACCTCTTGAGCGGAGCCATATCAGCACGGTCGACTTGATCACTCTCGACACTCTCGAAGTCGCAAAGCGTGCTCGTGTTCCTCCCGCCGATGTCCGCCGATTGTCCGCTCAGATCATAAGAGCACTCCACAATGATGTCGGTTTTAAGGAGAACAGAGATCCCGATGCTGATGAGCCGAGCTCCAGCCTCAGTGTTGATGTTCCTGTCTTCCCAGGCCCGACGACCAAGCTAGATCTATCCCAGTGGAGTGCGATTAGTACACTCGACCCCACGTTAGACGCACTGCTTGATGGCGGCATACCGACGGGTTATGTGACTGAGGTGACTGGTGAGAGGTGCGTATACTCGCTCCCCAGAGTGAGTCCGTCCGTATTCGAGGCGTCCTGATCTAATGGGCTAATCGGTCACAGTGGGAGTGGCAAGACGCAATTCCTTCTCACTCTTCTCCTGGCCGCCCAACTTCCTGCACCTCGTGGTCTGGACAAGTGTGCCATATACATTTCCACAGAAGCTCCATTATCGACGCCACGGCTTTCGCAGCTCATTGAATTCCATCCTTATCTATCTTCCTTGTCGCAAGCTCACACGCCCTCGCTGGAGAAGATATTGTCTATCAATGCCATGGATCTCGAGGCACAAGATCACATCCTCAACTACCAACTCCCTGTTGCAATCAAGCGATATAATGTCGGATTGGTCGTCATTGACTCCATAACTGCAAATTACCGGGCAGAACATTCGTCCCATAATCTGTCAGGCTTGTCCACACGGTCTGGCGAGCTTTCCAGATTAGGCCACATGCTGAGGAACTTGGCTGTGGAGGAAAATGTCGCAGTTGTAGTAGCGAACCAAGTTTCTGATCGCATTGAAGCTGCTGGCAGGCACCCAACACTAATACGTTCGAATGGCGGTGTCATCTCGTCTATTCCTTCAACGCAACAGCAAGTGCCGTCGTCACGTCACGAGTTAGAAGCTGTTACACCGTTACCACGAAATCGACCTCTTGAGTCCCGGAATGTCGAACTGACTCCTCATAACCCGATCCTTCAATCCTCTCCGTCTAGTCTTCCCTCGTCACCGTACACCACAGAGGATGACCCGCAGCAGCAGCAGTTCGACGGGTCATACCTGATTGGCAACCCTGTACGAAACGAGATCTTGAGTCTTCTACACCAGCAGCGGTTCTTCACCGGGTGGGGTGACACGCTACAACCTACTATCTCAAGCCTGTACCCAGCTTTCCAACAATCTGCACAGAAGACCCCTGCTCTAGGCTTGGTTTGGTCTACCCAGATTGCATGTCGCATTGCACTGAAAAAGGAGAGCCGCTTTGTGGATTGGGAGGCCATTCTAGAGGACACATTTGTCTCCAGCGAGCAGCATCTGCTGCCTACAGCAAGAGAGCAGGCCAATGAGCCCCCGGATTCACGGGTAGCAATGGAGAATGAAAAACAGTTTAGGGCACACCACCCTGCAGTCTCTACACCACCGGGCGAGACCGATGCAGTAGACGATAAGACGAATCTCGATGTCCCGAATACTGTCCGTGATGATCATGCAGCAACCGGGCAATCCTCACCGTTGTCATCACAGGCAGTTACACGAGGCGTTCGAAGGACCATGAAACTTGTATTTGCCCCCTGGACTGCCGGACCAGTCACAGAGCAGGGCGAAATCCAACACGAGGCGGAGTTTGAAATCTGGAAGGGTGGGCTGAGGGGCTGTACAGAGGATTTTGACACCATCTAGCGCGATATTCCCTGTCACGATTTACGACACGAACAATATATTCTGTTTCACTTTTCTTCTTGTACTTCTACCTCATCCCGTCAATACATTTTATTCTTTTGGTAAACCGTCTGAGGCCTCTCTGCTGAAAGGTCTCACCCGTTCCGGGACTAGCGTCTGTTTTCGGCGCCTGGCGGAACGGGCCCCCGCAGTTTTGTTCCTTTCTTTCTTTCTTTTGCCCACCACCACCACCGACTAACGTTAACTAACTTACCCAAGGTTTAAGCTCTTCAGTTCCCTTCCCCACTTTCCACACGCCCACACTATTCCCACCTTAATTTTATGCTTACTTTTTGGGTTTGGTCAATGTGATCACTAGTGCCCTGTTATCAGTCAATCTTATAGTCTATTGTTTTGGTTTAAATGCGGTGGGTCCGTCGGGACGCTGTCAGCCAGCCTGGAACTTGCTGAGCTTCTCCCATGCCACTGGTTCCTTCGTTCGGTCTTTGGAAGCTTGTCATACATACGAGGTCTTAATCTGACTGTGAAGTAGCAGCCAAATAATCCATAACGATGGAAGCAGATCTGTATCGTATCGTCATTCTCTCGAAAACGAGATTAGAAGACATTACTCGACTCGACCTGCGCTGGAGGTTTAGAAGCTGATTGATGATCATATTACACGATTCCCCTCCGGATTACATTGATAATTATGGACGTTTAAATCAGACACGACGATGGCCCTCCTACACGTTCAGATCCTTACCCCACGTTCCGTATACGCCTTCAGCTCGAATCAACTCGCAGTTGGTCTATGACATAACAACAACAGGAAGTGTCATACCGTGGTCCATGTCGATCCTGCGAGAGCACCACGAAATGCGAAAAGAAAATTTGAAAGAAAGAGAAAATTCCAAGAAAGAAAGGAAAAAAAAGATATCACTCGTTCTATGTACGACAGACATGCTCTATTTTTCAAGCTTGGCAGGAGGAACTCCAATGCCGTTCGTGTTACGGTAGAAGAGCACTCCGGAGCTCTCACCCTTGGCGCCCTCAGTGGGCTCAACCCAGTGGCACACACGGGCACTAGTCCAGAGAGCCTTGAAGAATCCGGTCCAGCCAGTGTGGGCTTCGGTCCGGTAGTGAGATCCCATGACCTTCTTGATGGCCTCGCTGGCCTCATCGGCGTTGTAGAAGGGGATGGTGCTGACATAGTGGTGCAGAACGTGGGTCTCAATGATACCGTGGAAGATGTGACGGCCGACGAAGCCGAAGTCACGGTCGATGGTGGCGGCGGCACCGCGGGCGAAGTTCCAGACATCAGGCTGGTAGTGAGGGAGGGTGGGATCGGTGTGCTGGAGGTAGGTGATGGCGACTATATCTTTAGGTCAGTATTCGTTCCAGCAATTGTGCCAGTTTGTGAAGAAAGTAACTTACCCAGCCAGTGGTTCACCCAGAGGTAGGGAATGCCGTACCAAACCAGAAGGTTCATCCAGCCGTACTTGGAGCCGACCAAGTACAAAATGCTTCCGACAATGGCGAGACCGATGTCACTCAGGACAATCAGCTTCGCATCCTTGGCCTCGTACAGAGGGCTAGATGGGTTGAAGTGGTTGACACCGCCGAAGTAGCCATTCTGCTTGCCCTTTCCACGACCCTCAGGCTGACGTTCGTGGTTGTTGTGACCGGTGACGTTGGTGAGCAGGTACATGGGCCAACCGAAGAGCTGCTGGAGAAGGAGGTTGAGGGCAGTGGCGATGGGAGTTTCCTCCATCAACTCATTGAGTTCGTGCATAGCCTTGCCGACGCGAGAGGCATACTGGTCCCGGGTCTTGGGCACAAACACCATGTCGCGAGCAATGTTACCGGTGGCCTTGTGGTGCTTTCCGTGGGAGATCTTCCAGGAGAAGTAGGGCACCAGCAGGGCGGAATGGCAGATCCAACCAACAGTGTCGTTGAGAACCTTGGACGGAGAGAAAGCCTGGTGGCCGCACTCGTGAGCCAAAACCCAGACACCGGTACCGAACAGACCCTGCACGATAGTGTAAAGAGCCCACAGCACGACTCTTGCGGGCTTGTAAGGGACGGTCTCAGGGGTCACGTAGTTGTGGAAGACATAGAAGATGGTCGCGAGCCAGAAGACATCCCGGAAGACATAGTACAAGCTGGTGAGAGCTTTGCGCTCATAGCAATGAGCGGGAATGGCATCACGGATCTGCTTGATGGTATAATCCGGAATCTTGAACTCGTTGCCATAGGTGTCCAGCATCTTGCCGCTGGCCTCTGCCTCCGACGCCAATGACGACAGGGAAGTGGTCGAAGGGGACTGGCGAGGGCTGTCCAGCGGGGAGGGGGTGACCGAGCTGGGGACGGACGAGTCCGTAGCATTGCGGTGCAGCGCAACGCGCTTGGGGAGAGCTGTGGAAGACATGTTGGAGCTTGCCCACAAAAATGTTTTCTCGAGCTCAAAGACGGCGAAGTCTAGAGGTTGGAAGCTCTGTTAGCCCGGGTTCAATGCCACAGCATGTGCGAAGAACAGGTCACGCAAAGTGCAACGTACCAATGGGTCAAAACACGGCGCCAAAGCTGTAGCAGCTCAAGGTAGGCACTGGACGGAGTTGAGCTCCCACGCAGCAAAGGAGACGGAGGGATGGGATCGGGAGAGAAGAGAGGAGGGAAGGAGAGGTAGGGTGACAATCGGAAAGATATAAATGGTCGCCTCCAAAGAGCCTTGACCGGAGAAAGAAGTGGGACGGGGGGGGTTCAAAGGGAGGAAAAAAAAGGCGGATGGACAGAGGCGAAAACAGTGAAAGAAAAAAATGAAGGGCGATTGTTTGATGATCACCTGTTCAGCGTTCAGCAGAACCCGGGGAGAGGAGGGGGGAGGCAAAACAAAAAAAAAGAAAATGAGGGTTCCGAAAAGAGGGCAAAAAGGAAAAATTGCAAAAAAGGAAAAGGTAAGGGGGAACACCCAAGAACCAAACAAACGCGAATTGATTGGGGAAGACTGAATTTCCAGTGCAGTCGAAGAAGAAGCCCAGAAGACAAGCCATCCAGAAACACCCGATCTGGATGCAAGTCTCGCCGGGCCCCTGGGCTGGTAATTTTGCGTTACGGGGGATCTCCCGCGAAAATTTTGTATTGGGTGGGACAACTCTCATTGGTCAGGGGCTGGCGCGTCAATACGGGACGGCGTCCCGACTTACGAGAAGATTACGACCCGACGGCATTACATTCTGCAGTATTCTCATCTCACTCTGTCCTGTCATTTTGGTCTACAGAAGAGATCGGGTGGATGGATAACCTCGGAAACGCTTACTGGACCATCTCAGCGCAGTTTGCCTTTTGCGTGACATGCTCTACATCTGCAGATGGTTTCATCACTGGCTCGATCGTCGCATCTGGCAAGGTAGTAGGAAGTTAATCTGCTCGAGTCTGGATACCTGAGCCGAGGTCGTCGCGGAGTCTGTCTGTGGCTTGCCCGAGATGCGCATGCCTACGAACCCTCTAGGTTGCGGCCCATCCGTGACTGGTTGGTGGGAGGTATACGCCACCTGTTGCTTGCTGGAAGGGGGCGGCTGATCCGTCCGGGCCTGATTGCCAGAAGGGAGAGTGTCATTTTTGCATTCCGGGGTGTGCTGAGGGATTATTCTTTGCCCCCCTTAAGCCGAGATCCTCCACCGCATGGCTCTCACCGCACGCCAGAAGATCATAAGATGTGGTTGCACTCCTGACTAACCGGCCATGTGGCTCGAGTATTGCAAAATACTTCACGTTCCAGAAACCCGAGCGTGGTTACCAGGGACCATGAACCGCGGAGGCTCACCGCCCCGCTGGAACCAATGGGAGCTTGACCTCAGGCCCCACAGCCGGGTAAGAAGAGGAGAATTGGCTTCTCAACAATCTTGGCAGCTTCCCCCTTGGGCGGTGGGCATGAACCCGGATGAAGAATTACGGTTATTATATCCCACTTGATTATCGGAGGGGGCTGGTCGTTGGCCCTGTGGCATTCGGATAATTTTTACTGGTCAATCTCACCAGTCACCATGCGAGGACAGATGACACCTCCGATGGAGACGAGGAATCACACAAGGCGTCTCGTCTCGTCTCAGAGAGACTAGTGTGAATGGAATGGGTCGGAGATGATTCGGGCATCTTATCAGAAATCAGAATTGGAGAGGACCCCAGCTGAACTACAAACATAAAGAGTAGGGATGCTCACTGCTTGCTTTGCGCCCCCCCAGGGGCTGAAGCCATGCCGCTGGAACAGACCCTCTTGATTCTTTCCAACTTCTTCACATGCCGTGGTATCACCATCCCACCAACCAGCTTCACCCAACCCAATGCGTGCGTCCAAATTCAACAGAGGTTGATGGATCATCGACTTTGCACTCGGACGGTCCTGAGCGTGGAAAAAGGTCTCGATCGAACGGAAAGAAACCCCCATGTGATTTCCTCCGCATGCAGAATGTATCTAGTTGAGAGACAGTAGTGGCGCGCCTTACAGCATGTACAAAAGTAGTATTCCAGCTCCACGACTCGAACACAAAGCGGCAGAATCCACTTACTGGGATGGATGAATGGCCTTAGACTTTCGGCGGCGCGGGTGGAAAAACTTTAACAAACGCAAGCCCCAGCCAGGCAAAAATGAGAAAAGAAAAATAAAAAAACCTACGTACTTACTTGCCATTGCCACATAAGAGAAGTTAAGTTTGTCGCGTAATGCGAAATACACCATTAGGGTATTTTAGGGTAAAATAATCGTTCAGTCATCTACAGAGTATAGAGATAATGGATTGAACCGAACTGAGAAGGTTTGATGCATGTGATTGTAAGATATGGAAGGTACGCCGTAGTATTCACTGACATCCCCAACTGAACTACTTTGTATCTACACTGTTGATATACTTACTATAGACCACTGGCATGAAAACCCACTTCAATCTTCTCCAAATCAATAATTATATACCTACATACATATAACTACACATACATACACATAGTATATAAATAACCCAGATCCATCCTCTTTTTTACCCCCTACCCCTATTTAAGCAGTGAACGCAATCAAAGCAAGCAACGAAAAGTACTACTACAAGTAGAATAGTCGCGTTGCACGCATGTCAGCATCTGTTGGGACACCAGCCATTTTGTTGAGATTGGGTCCCGGTGGGGCGGGAGGGGGGGGAAGCTGATCGGGAAACAAGGATATGTGGGGTGGGAAAAAGGAAAAAAAAGGGCGACCGCCGTGTCAATCAATTACCGAGTCAGGTACTTTGCAATAGACACTTGATCGAGTCAGTTTCTCATTAACTGAGTTTTTACTCTTTACTACCTTGATTGTCTGTCTGGTGAAAGTAGCTTTTGTGTAACCTTTCTTGTATATCTGCTGATCAATTACTTACTGCTGGAGTGGATGGTGAGTTGTTGTATGTTTTGTTGGTTGGTTAGTAAGGAAGGGAAGAAGAAAGTAGGTTTGAGGGAGTGTGTTCAATGTCTTATTGTAGTACAATTTCAATGGATATATGCTAACTAAGGTCGGTAAGAGTAACTAGTAAGTAGTATGGTATGCTGACCTTATCTGGTGGGAAGTATGTGTGAAATGGGGTATGTATTGTCATGGGCGTGTATTTGTATTGTTGGTATTTTGCAGTTGAGGATGGGTGATGCAGGGATGAAGGAGGTTTGATGTATATTGTTGGACTACGTAGTACACTTTATTTTCTTATCAATTCATTGCTAGCTAACATTACTATCTATATAATTCTAACATGAAGGTATATTTATATACCATATAGTCTATACATGCATTGTACCTGGCTTCTAAGCTATGCTATGTATGCATAAGTAGGTAGTTAGGTAGTAGGTATGTAGAAGAAATGTAGTCTATGAGCTCGTTACATGCAACCGCTCCGAATCTATCAACCACGCCCCGCCATGACTGCCCCCCGACAGTGACAGGCTCACTGTCGTCGTGCGGAGATCGGGTAATACCAGCACGGTCTCGCCGTGGTTGCGGTAGTCGACCTCACACGGAATGGGTCGGCGCTGCAGCGGTGCCACTGCCGCTGCGGCGGCGGCCGCCGTCATGGACCCAACTGCCGCAGGCTGTCCAGGGTTGGGACTCATCATCTGCCCCCCGCTCGCAGTCGTTGAAGATTGCGACTGCGGCTGTGACAGAGACGATGAGGATGTTGGGGATGGTGGCACAAAGGACCTGATTTCCAACCCCGGAAGAAGAAGGTGTCCGGCTTTCTGCGGAAGGAGCATGATTGCAAAGGTTTTGGTCTCGCCCTCTTCGGCGGTGAAGTTTCCGCGGCGTCGGCCACCAACGAGCCATGTTTCGGGATTTGCGTGGATCTCGTACGAGAAGTCAAGCGGACCACCTGCGTTCTCGCGATGCTCCGGTGAGCACCACCGTCGTGTATGACGTATGCTGAGTTCTGCAGCAATCATCTGTCCAACTGCCGCATGGGGAGGCTGCTGTGATAGATTGGCGAGGCGGAGCTCGGCTGTGTGCACAACTTGAATCTCCGGGATGTCGACGGGGATGACGATGTGTCTGCTGCGTACGGCTGGAGAGTCTGGAAGACAGATGACCGGGTGGTTCTATTTGGGTTAGACTAAAGAGGCAAGGGGGCCATCGGTGGGTTATACGAGTGACTTACCTTATGCCAGTCCATCAGCCAGGCCTTCAGTCCATCCATTGGTTCCTTCAACGCACTCAGCAATGTCTCCCAGTGGGCATTCGCATACTGCAGTGTTTCCACCTCCCGGACGAGGCCGACAACTTCCATGTCGGAGGTCGACAGCTGTGAGCGGAAGGTCTCAACAATGTGGGATGTGAGCAAACTCGTGTACTGATGAAACTCGCTAGCTGCAATGCTTGACTTGAATGTCTGCTCGACTGCATGTAGGCATTCATCGTCGACGCAAGTAAAATCGACGCTTAATCGCAGGGACCGTCTTGCTCCCGGAGTGGGAACGCTGTCTGGCCGCTGCCGAATCTTGTAGAGTAAGGACGCTGGCTGTTTGGCAAATACATTCAGCGCCACAGAGTCGCCAATACTTGACTGCACTTCATAGATGTCTGAGCTTGGGATTTGGCACTTTAAGATCCGGAGCGGAATCAGCATGGCTGGACTGATGGTGAACCGTGAGAATAGCACACTATCCTTGAAGACATCCTGCACGTTGACACTGATTGGCAAGCCTGAAATAATGTTGTGCACCGAGGAGTAAGTAAACCGTCCCTTCTCTGTCTCGTATGCCACTTCAGCCCTTGCAGAGAGCATCGGGTGGTGTTCCTCGACCGTGTAAGGGATCCGGAACCGAACAAACGAGTTGGGTTTCAACTGAGAGAACTCAATGTTTCCCGAGTCACTATGGGCTTCGATCTTTATATCGCCCTCTACCAGTTCGGTTTCGGTAGTTCTCAATCGAAGACCAGCCGTGGCAGGTCTTACTCGAAGAGTCCCGCTTTTGATGTCGTTCCATCCACTACTGAATTCGAGCTCTATCGTCCGTAATTCCTCCAGATTGACAAAGTGCGGTGACACAATTTTTGCCTGAAGGCCGTCCGGCGGCGGAAAGCAATAGATGAATGGCCGACTATCCTCTTCCTCGGCCTCTATTGCCTCCCTGAATCCAACTGGCAAAGACGCATGCTTCCCGCCTCCAAAAGTGAAAACAATGTTCTTTGCTCGCATTTCGATGCGGTCCACGAAGTATTTGCCTTGCAGCGTAATCTAACATAGTCAGTAGATGTCAAAACAACGACAGCACACATAGCTGCGAATCGTGCTCACCGGAGAGTCCACCAGCACCCTCGTCGACGACGATTTGATGGTCATTTTGATAGGCGCCTCTAGCCAATGCTCGTTACTCTGAGCGTTGTGCGCGCCCACCAATCGCAGTTTGATTGAATCAATATCGATACGCTTTCCCAGGCAAAATCGCAAGTAAAGTTGAAGCTGGAACCCATCCTTGTCCGCATAGTGTAAGATTGCAGGCTTGACGTTGATATCCGCAAAGAAATCAGTCATGGGGGCTATGACTTCTTTCTGGAGAGAACTGGATGCCTTAAACAACTCCTCAACGTATTCAGAAATCAATGCATTTTCCGCAAAGATATGTGACGCATCTAGTGTCTTCTGACGCTTCGACAGATTTGACTCTGTATAAATTGCGAACTTTGCGAGAAGGCGGAGGATCACCCGAACGTATTCTTCATTGCGATTCAGCTCTTTCAGACACCGGGTGTACATTTCCAACATAATACCCTCTAGCACAACCCAGTTCTTACTACCATAAAACGGAGCAATGTGGTGGAAGTAAGATGCTGCTGCTCCATAGTCGCTCTGTCTGTAACGTATAAGGGCCATGTCAGCAAGTGCGGCCTGGGTTGAGTACGTCCGATTTGCAGCGATGTGATGCCGGTACATCTGATCTGTAAGATCTTCATAATGCACGCGGAAAGCCTTTCTTGACTGGAGAGCTAGCTTCAAGCCTGGGAGATCGATACCAGACAAGAGATTGGTATCCCCGGACTTATCTGCCGGCTGTGAAGTCTCATCGTCAAGCGATACGTCGGCCATATCGCCAGCATCGGCTCCCCGATCATTGAAGAGGAGATGGAGATCATTCCACGTCTCCTTCCAGCCGCATCTTGCAGAGATTTCCTCCAGGAGTCGGCGAGCCATGAGGAGCAATTCCGCTCTTCCAGAAGCCAATTGCTCGGAACCGGTTTTGGGTGTGAGCTTCGGGCCCTCGAAGCCTGGTCGGGCATGGACAGACGAAAGGGCATCCGGAGGCAAGATGCCCGAGGTTGTCATACGCCGTGGCTGAGGCGTAGCTGAAGTCGCAAGTGAACTTGAGCGCCTAGGAAGTTCTGGGTGGCTCTCGGCATGAGTCGCGACGTCTGCTGGCTTGTTGACAGCATGCAGTGAGGACTCAGGAAGTGTAAGGGCAGGAGTAAATGTTTGAGAAAGCACCTGGGAGGCAGCAGCATACGCCCATGATGATACAATATTGTTCACCACCTCTGATTTCCGGGCAGCTTCCACATCTACCAGTCCCGTCTCGAGGTCGATCCTGAGCGTCCGTGCTGCAAGACTTATGAATTCGGTTGCTCTTTGACAAGCTTCGGAGAGAAGCAGTAGGTTCTCCGGCTTCCTGTCTTTCTTGGACGACTGTGGATCTGCTTCTGCTTCCTTACTCAGTAAGGAGGGAGCCTTTGCCGCCCTAAGCAGTAATGTCAATTGTCTTGAGAAAACGTAGGTGCGGAAATCAAAAATAGAGATGTCACTGGCCAGTATCATCTCCCGATACGGCTTTTTGGTTGCAGATATGGGAAAATCATCCATTGCAATTTCCGGAATGGGCTCGGGTTCGTCATCTCCCTCACCCTCGTCCTTCCGTGCTCCCTCTCCTTCAGACTCCAGAGCTGATTTCGCCTTGTCTCTCCAGTCCTTGCTGTAAGTCAGGAATGCTCCCCCATGTTGGTCTCCAGTTCCTTCCAGCTGTTCTTGTACCGCAGTGTCCAAGCCGACCGCAAGCTCATCATACCCG